TGTTCTATAATAATTGAACTGTATTTCCTTATTTTAATACTTGCCGCAGATTCAGCTACCACACCACTCGTTTTACTAGAAAATTAATCCAAAATATTTCAGTGGTGCCAAGTCATAAAGCTACGAAAAACTGTCCCAGACTACTTGGGTGTGGCGCCTACTCTTAAGATTTTGACTCTATCTGGGAGATGTCAGCAAAACACAAAATAGCAAAATTGAACACGAAAAAACAAACCGGTGGTATTATAAAAAAAAGGACCCCCACAATGTTGGGGATTGGGCGCCAGCTTTGCGCTACGTTTAAAGAACACAGCGCAGCGCTTGCTTTTGGTATTCATCGAACACAATGGTGGTGTTAGAGGCTAATAAACCCCCAAAAGTTAAAGGCTTTTTGCAAAATTTATAATTGCGCTAGGTTAACTTGAGCGCTAGGTCTACAGAACAGAAAACATCAAATTTTTACCCGAAAAGACAAAATGGTGGTGCCTCCTCCCCCCACACTATTGGAGGGTGATGACAGCTCTAAAATTTGTGGCGCTAGCTGGCGCTAGGTCAGCAAAACACAAAACGTCAAAATTTTACCCGAAAAAACAAAATGGTGGTGCTAGGAAAAATTTCCCCCTGCACTATTGGGGGGTGGCGCTAGCTCTAAAATTTGTGGCGCTAGCTGGCGCTAGATCTGACGAACACAGCGCTTGCTTTTGGAAGTGATCGGACGCAATGGTGGTGCTAGCGTTAACATAGCACCCCCCGAAAATCAAGAGCTTTTTTGCAAAATCTATAATGGTGCTAGCTGAACTCAAAGTGGCGCTAGCTGGCGCTAGGTCAGCAGAACACAAAACGTCAAAATTTTACATGAAAAGACAAAATGGTGGTGCTAGGAAAAATTGCTCCCCTCACTATTGGGGGGTGACGCTAGCTCTAAAATTTGTGGCGCTAGGTCTGACGAACACAGCGCTTGCTTTTGGAAATGATCGGACGCAATGGTGGTGCTAGCGTTAACATAGCACCCCCCGAAAATCAAAGGCTTTTCTGCAAAATCTATAATGGCGCTAGCTGAACTCAAAGTGGCGCTAGCTGGCGCTAGCCATAGAGATTCTAGCGCAATCTGTCTTTAGTCAAAAATTTGAAATGGTGGTGCTAAGTTAACGGAGCCCTTCCTTTTTAATTTTTGTATGGCATACCTAGTACCATAGTGTAAAGAATAGATTTACACTAAGCTAGTACTAAAGCAAAACCCTTAGCATTGGTAATTGCGCAACAAGGAAGATAGGACATCATTGGAAAGGCTTTCCTTCTCTGAATTTGGTGAGACTATAATTTTTTAGATTTGATATTTTCGAAATATTTTAAAAGTACGTTGAGGGCGCGCTGTTGTTTATGTCATTGGAAGGATGTCGGGCCGATCACTATGTAATAGAAGCTAATGCGATCGTGCGTCAAAATTATGCAGTTGCAAGTGTTATAAAAAAGAGAAAACTTGTACCTGCAACGTCGAATGCACTGGAAATGAAACAACTAAACCAAAAAAATTACATATCCGAATTCAGAGATGGGCGACCTTACCAACGATGCATCATTTAAGATTTTAAGGGTTGCATTGTCAGCGATGCGAGACAAAGACAAAGTGAACAAGTATTATTTTAGACACTGTTTCCTTCCATGATCAATTTGACGTGCCAATAAGCGTTTTTTGAAAATTATTTTAATTTACAGAAATAGCTGTATCGTTTCTAATGCACCACCGTATATTATTTAGCTTCGGAGAAATAACACCAAAATCTCCCCATAAAAATTGTTATAATAATAAATGGGTAGATTTTGGTGTTGTTTCTCCGAAGCTTCTTAAGCACCCCATTGAGAGTCATGGATCTTCACAATTTCAGTATATTATTTAAATAATAGCCATATAATTAATAGCAAGATCAATTTTTTTCACGATATTTATCAACATTTTTTGCTTTTTTCGTTACTTTATAGTTCTTATCTCTTTAATTTTACGGAAACTCTCAAGAATCTATTTGTTTTACGTTCAAATATGATTATAATTTACTTGAGATTCTTTTAAGACAATACATACGTATTTCGTTATGTGTCCTTTAAATGGGCGACATCGAAGGTTAGAGAACTAGGAAACTTAACTTGCAGCTATTAATAAATAATAATTGTTAAAATTTTATTTAGACTTTTATATTCCTATTGCAATATTATTTGTACGTGCTAAAAGGTTTCCAAATGAAAAAAACCTTGATTGTGAATTGGTACAATAAAGCTGGGTAAATATAGTTAAGAAATGTCACGTGACAGTTTTGCTGATTGACCGATACCAGCGTTTAGCAGCATCCGTCTACTTGTGAACATGAGTGCATGGACAATTTACATCACGGATGAGTGTCTTTTTACCTTTTTTTTGTTTTTGTTTTAAATAAATTTTCATTCATGGTACCTTTAGCAAGTGTTCTCATGTTTAATACGGAGATTACAATAAAATAAGTACTAAATTCCAGATTTTGAGTGATATGGATGCTATTAAAGTGACCTAAAATCTCTACTGCTTGTGCTTTGATATGGTCCATTCCATTTAAAAAGGTACATAGGATTGTACGTATGAATTCTTGCTTCATAAATACTATTAAAAAAATTATTCCTCTACAAATTGTATGGCTATTGTTTAACCAACATAAATGTTTAAGTGCCACATTAAAACGCCAAAATCAAGGAAAATATCATCAAAAAGGGACTTGTCCCTGAGGCTAAAAGTTGAAATTTGATTTATTACAAAAAGTTGATAATGGATATGAGATTTAGGCGGTGCAAACTATACGGGGCGCGTAACAATGGAGTTCGGTACAACGAAAAGGGGAAAGAGATACATAATAATCTATGAAGGATACATGTACCTACCTCTTTGCTAAGAACCTTAAACTCCAAAACTGCTCATCATGGCTGTGTCGAGCGAGAAGAGCAAATAAGGATCCATTGGCTCTTAGTTTAACATGCAATGCCAGGAACTGAGTCAACGATGACAAGGTATGATTAGCTAAACCGAGCACTGATTTTGGAAGTGCAGATGGTTTCTCATTTCAAAGCCCTTAATTGGGTATTTTATTAGTTAGGGTATCGTCTTTTGACCTTTTGACTTTTTTATACGTAAGTTTCATCGTTGCTTATATACCGTCGTCTAATGTTAGTTTTTAGGTTCGGCCCTCTCTTGCAAAAAATTTAGTTTATCAACCTCTTCAAATTTCAATTTTACTCTGGAACCAACCACGGATATGGTCGTTGGCCTTTCCAGTTTTACTGCCCTTTTGGGTTTTTAATTGTTTTCCATCTATTGTAAGTTTTATAGCTATAGTCTCTCCTCAATTATTTCTACCATCTTGTAGATCACTAATTGAAGATGACAGTTGGTCGAAACATGTAGTGTATCACTTCGTTTTATTAAATTATATGGGAACGGTTTACAGAACTTTTATTCAATATTAATAAATTATCCCATTTAGAGTTTGAACACAAAATGGACGTCACGATTCCAAATTATACCTTAATATTGAAAGTATCCAAATTTTAAATGTAGGTCTATTACATGCACAAAGTGATAAAACGTGATATTGGTGAGTAATATTGGAGATTTCAAGCTCTGAGTTAATTTAATACTTCACAGCCGACTTTCTATGTTAAAAGTCAACCATACACAAAATACCCTCTCAGGGGAGCGAAATTCTGGTGCGAATTATTCCGGTGCGAATTATCCGGGTGCGAATTGTCCGGGAGCGAAACGTCCGGGTGCGAAATATCTTTGGTGCGAATTTTCCTTGGTGCGAAATGTCCGAGTGCGAATTGTCCGGGTGCGAAATGTCCGGGTGCGAATTATTCCTATCTCCTTATTATTGTTCTACACCCAAAGCTTGCATTGTGTTTTAATGCTAGCGTTTGTTTTAAAGCAGGCGTGGTTTATTTCCGGTGAAGCGAATTGAATGGATACAAAGATCGATGAGTAGATCAAAGTCAGTTGCTGTTTTCCATCGACTTATCTCCTATTGTTAACCCCTTTATTTACCTGAACTAGTTGGAAGTAATAAAGTGTAATTAAGGTAATATCCGAAAAGCTTAACCAATGACGCCGAGAAAAGATAAGGATAAGAAGAATATACACAGCGAACCATACATGGCCACACTATTTATTATTCGGTAGCAACCTTAAAAAAGAATACAAATTAACTACTATTATGCAAGTACTTACGATTAATAGTAAAATGGGCAACAATTGAATAATAGTGGCTACTTAATTATTTAAAGTTTAAATAGATCGCTTGGTTTTTGAATTAACAAATTTTCTGAGACTAACATGAATGGAACAATTAATCACTAATCGGTTACAACCTTAAAATAAAGAAGTAATGTTCAAACAATGAATAAGCTTTTACAATTTTTAATAGAAGTGTAGACCTAGATATCTGCATTATCACTGAATTTGTAATGTAAGATAACCACATTACAAAGAAGTCTGTGATCTGTGACGGTGTTTCATCTATAAACACCCGCAATCCATAATTAATTTACAGATATAAGTAACGACGATCATGCATTTCGTCTTTTCATTTATGCAAACCGAACCCAAAATTTTATCCGAAAACCAAAGTCGGCAAATCAATAAGATATGGTTTTCGAGTTTTAAATGGATAGCTTATTGTACAATACCTGACGCCGCACAATGAGACCGTAAAAACAAAGCCAAGTCAGTTAGGAAAAAATATAAAATATACGGGCCCCAAGAGACCCAATCAATTAGTTTCGGTGATGTCAAATTATCAAATTAGTGATGAAATTTTGATTTGATGGCCTGCATAGTACCCCAACTTTTTTACGATTCTGCACCCACCTTGTGATTATGCGGGCCCGGGAGGTGCCCAAATCAAACATTAGTCTAGTTAGGCGATTGAATCTCTTAAATGCTATAAGATATGGATGGGAAATGTCATCCCTTTAAATAAACTTACGTAATGATAAATGTGGAAAGAAACCAAATGCATGTGGTAACTGGCAGGTATTGTAACTTGATCATTTCCTTGAAACAACTACTGGACAAGTACCTACCTATGAAACTTAAACTAAATTATTTAAAAGACTGACGGCTGCAAGACTCTTATCTAAAGCCTCTAAAGGTAGATAATTTTGTTTACCCATTTTGCGATATTTGCTTTATGAAGGTGTCATTATTGGGCGCAATTCTCTGATATGAAAATGAGGATCGGTCCCAGCCCAGTCACATGCGACAGAACAAACAATGAGGTATTCGGTATACTCCTGCATCGCTCCTGTGACTGTACAACCCAGCACGTCGTTGTGAATGTGGGAGTATATTTTGGAATATATGTTGGAAGAATTTCGGCACAATTCATCACATGTTAAGCTGGCACCACAACCAGCAATTATTTGATTTGAAATTGCAGAAAGGTGTGCTTTTTATCAAATATTTGGTGTTACTTTCGTGTTTGCCAAACACAGGTCACAGTAAATTTTTATTTGAGTCAAATGGCACATTTTATGATTCATAAAGTCGTGTGTGTTGTGAATTGCTGGTAATACACATTGAAGATCATAAAGCTGTTTTCGGTCTCCCTTGGGCCATGGCTAGTACTTGTTCAGGAGAGATCGATACTCGAAAACCTATGTTTTTCTTTTTGTTTAAATTGATAAAAACGGCAATCGGCAACGGCAATTTATAAATGCCAGATTTCATAATGTAACCTGTAGCAGGCATATTTGCAATATTTCATTGTCCCGCAAATACTTCATTTTACATCACGTGCTTTACTCCATTGATTTTGAATAACAAATTCAGTAGGACAAATAATAATACCACAGTATACGTTTACGTATATCTGTGATAATACTAAGTGATAAGAAGTATGTATTAATCCACCTATGTATCAAAACCACAGTAAGTATATTATGAAATAGACCTAAAAACATTGAATTTATAACTATCTAAAAATTATCTCGACTACCTACAATTAATTAATGTACCTATCAAATTTAATCTTAGGTCATTTGTATCTAAAAGTGCGTAATATGCACAGAAATATATACACAATTTTTACTTCAGGGGCAATATGTCACTTCTTTTGCAAATTTATTATAAAGGACAAACCATATACTCAAAAATGGATTTATTTGGTCTTTATCATTCCCAGTTGGGTATTATTCCAACTAAACACGCTTGGACGTTGAGAATTATTATAATTATGTATTTCATTATTACTTGTTATAAACCTATTGAAGTAAGAGATGTTAAATGTTTAACACTTTAAATTAATATATACAATCAAAAGTTGCAACATTGTTCGCCAAGGCACAAGCATCAATCCCAAGCAACCTTGTATGGTGTATAGAGGCAAATAAAGGATAAGTGCAGAAAACGCGTGTAAGAACAAAAGATGGAAGAATCAGTAAGGCGGAAAAAGTTTCTCAATTAATGAACAGCGAAGAAAAATGATAAGATGAAAGAAAGCGCCAAGAAGCCGTAGTAAAGGCGTCCAAGGAAGAAAGGACGAAGTAATAATGAAAGACTAAAGGGAGTCGTGAAGAGTGTGTGAAGAGGCAATAAGTTGTGAAAGGATTCTACCCACGCATGGAAATTGAATTATTTAAAAATTTAATTGTTTTTTAGGGCATCGGGTTATAGTCCGTAAACGAAACTTAAAATAGAATAAAACCTGGCAATTTTTTCATTTTCTTCATTTATGTATGATTTGCATGCAAATTTGGGATCAAGTTCCACTTATCCTCCACTTCAAAATCTGTATGCCGACGGGCGCTCTTCATTTTTTAAAGGTGTAAACTACCCCTTTTTTGCAAAACCCATAAAACTACATATTAAAACTTAAGGTGAGACAAAATTTGGTTCATATGAGTTGACTACTGATTGTTAGAGGCTTTGAAACATTCTTTCAGAATATTTCCACCCTTAAAAATCAACCCTTATTGTGGTTTAATAAAAAAGTGTTTACAGTCAAAAAGTTAATCATTTATTAGACGACAGTTGTTCGGTGTGCATTTCGAACAAAGTATAGTGTTCAACCTCCTGACAGATGGTGTATCCAACGGTTATATAAACATTAAACAGTTCATAGAGGCGGAATGTTTGTGTATTTGTGCAAAGGAGAATGTTCCGGACAGCCGCGCACGTATAATCAGAATTTCAGAATTTTTCGAAAAAAATTGTAATTCGTTTTTTAATCATTTTGTAGGTTTTTACAAGAGCTACAAGGCTATTTACATCAAATCCATTTAAAACCTTTAGTTTTAAAATGGGGTGAGCTCAAACAAGGTAGTGCTCGCATATAAATACACGTTAACGTCTATATATCTCACTTCATTTTTGTCGAACAGAAAATTGCCGTTGAAAAAAATGTTTGGAATTAAAAAAGCTACAATTGGATGCTGTAGCATTTTTTTACGTATCTCCATTTGTTTTGTAGTTATTTTGAGAGAAGGACGTTTTTCACAAAATTGCAAAATTTCGTTTTTCACTTTTAGCTTCAATTATTTCAAAATTAAGTCTGGTCACACTTCTAGAATGTATTAATCATACGTAATTAAAGAAAACTGGAAAAGAGGAAAGACTAATTTTAATTAGGGTGGTAATTAGGGGATTGTGAAGTGCGGATCTATCTTATTTGCATCGTAACTCATCTACCATTTATGCTAAAGTTTGTTTAAAAAAAAAGAAAAAAGGTTTTTTTAAATAGTTTAAAAATATTGTATCTACAAGTTTTTCTGGAAAAATGCATAGTTTTGCCATTATTTGACTGTGAAACTCTCTAATTTAGCGTTTGATGAACAAGAGCTAACCTTTAACAAGCCAAAACTCGTATTTCGTATTGGTCATACAGCAATTATTAATAAAACTATTTTCTTTGATTTTTTTAAAAGCTACGATTCTGTGTTCGATAGTTTTTTTTAATAAAATGCATACTTTTCGAGTTTTTCGCGAATAACCAATTAAAAACATTGTGCTTTTCTATATGAAAAACTCGTACCTTCTGTCGCGCCAATAACTGGAGAAGTACCTATTAACTTTCAAAAAAAAATGTTAGAATTAATTTTTCTATCTATTCCTGTGTTAAAAATACAATAGAAAATTGCCATATCTCCGAGATGGAGTGACAAACACCTCCAGGGTGAAAGCGCCCTTTGGCATGATATCGATTTTGATCATTAGGCTATTCCTTACCTACTGTTCAAGTTAATCGATCCATTTTGAAAAAATTGCCAAGGCAAAACCGTTTCCTGTACTATTAATAATAATATTTATTAGATTAGACCATATTATACCCTCTTGATTAAGCCAGATCGGAAATTTTCATATAGGTAAGAATTGAGTGTATGTGTTACATATACCTAAGCAGGATTGTCGAAATAGTAAAACATAATCGAACTTCGAAATAAATACATATTGTTACAGACAAAATAATCATGCGTTTGGAGGTTTTTTCAACCAAATTTACTGGATTATTTTTGTTATTCTTATTCTTTTCATTTTAGCAGTCATCTAAGAGGAAGACCATCATACATCAATGTTGAAGATGTATAAATGAAGAAATAGTAGTAGAATTTATTGGTTTTTTGACCTCATCTAGATAAATTTTTACCACCGCAAGTACGATATGATGACTGCGTTACTTTACTAGGTTTTGTTAATTTTTTTTGCGTCGGCAGAGCTTTCCCAGTAGGGATGCAGCCGTACAAATAGGAAAATCGAGAGATTTGAGTAGGTACGTTAAACATTGCGTATCATCGAAATTTACCCATCGTTAAAATTTAGAGGCTAGAAATTACTTTCCAGTTAGGTAAGTGTTATAAGTTTGTGGCAAGGGAAGATGATGTGGTAAAAACTAGATTGTGCTGCAGATTCAGATTCAGAGGCAGATTCTCGAATAATTTACCATCTTGGTAAAGTACCAACAAGTAGCGAAGTCATTATTAGCGCTTCCGATATGGATATTGCTGTTAGTGCTTTGGGAAATGTAAGTAAAATTGACGCTACCATCAAGGTATAGATGGAGGTAGGTCTCTTTTCCAATAACACACAGAAATTCATAAATCTTCGGGAGATTTTCGTGAATTTGGGTGTTGATGTGTGTAACGCGTTACCGGGTTTCCACGCATTTACCGGATGCCGGGATGCATGACTTGTGTATGGTCCTCATGGTTTAGTTCATCGCAATTTGGGCGAATGCCACCGAAAAATGTCTGACCTTTTACAATCCGTCTGATTGAAGTGGGTGGAACTATGTGAATGGGAAGTTTAGAATCATTTAAAGTAGTGACAAAAAGAGGAATTTTTTATGTATAATTTTTATATGGTCCTCGTGGTTTAGTTCAGGGGTGTTTTTCCCTACATTGAAGGGCGACACCAACGATGCACTTGAAATCGTCTGCCATAGCATATTTGAAAACTATGGAAAAAATGGGATTTCTTGATACAAATCTTTTCCGTGACCCTTATAGTTTAGTAATTTAGTTGATCGTCTAAAGAAGTCACTTATTCAGCGCCGCCCCCAGTTAATGCTGCCGCTTACGACAGGCAGACGAGTGATTTTATTACTAGTTTTCAACATACTTTCAGCCTGCATTGTCGAATATTTTGTGGGTTATGGTTTAGTTACCATGTACGCTGCCTCCCGGTCTATAACGTGGGACTGTTTTTGTTTCCCATACCTACTGCATAATAATGAGATACAAAAATTACAACAATATTTGTCATTATTTCTTTATTCGCCATCATTTACCTTAGTCCTGCAACTGATACTCATTTACATCTTTGCCATCAATTTTTAACTGAACACCTTCAAATTCAATGCATTTGATTTCGTTTGAAAATGTAGATATATAAGTAAATATAATTAATGCTAAAATCCATTCCGAAAATGTACTTGTCAATCGGAGATTATAACCTTCATGTTCTTCCGTCCACCACATTTTGGATTCACCTGCCAATTCAACAAATCGTTAAATAGAAATAAAGGTCCCTGTGTAATGTACCAGTAAATTTGGTCATTCCTAAAACTCCGGATAGAAATATCAGCATAAACACCGGTACCATAGGAACTTAAGTAGAACATCCATTTTGGAATACTTCTCTTACACGCGGAAACATAAGCGTGCGATATTCTGGTCTGCAATTAAACGTATTTAATGTATGACCACCAACGCTATTTGAATATGTATATGTATATACCTGCAGTATACAATAAACGCTTCCAATACCCAAAGCCATTAAGGCACCAATTAAATGGACAATAAGAATGTTACTTTCTTGGAAATTTGCAGTTATGCTTGTTCCAAAACTTACCGCAATACCAACTTTAAATGTTACGCTATTCCATTTTGAATTTAGCTTTATGTTTTGGGTTTTTATGTCATGCTCAACTTGGCGATACCTTACGTACATTGCAAATAATACTAAAATGGCGATAAAGAAAAAGAAAATTATTAGGTATAGTGGTAAACTTACGTAGTAGTGCTCCTAAATTAAGGAATTGCGAAAACACGCAACTTGCAGGTGGTAGTGCTCCAGCTTCGCTGATGTATGGAAACAAATAATACACACTCCCTGTCTTCACGGCTATTATATATCTACGATTAGTAATTATTATTAATATTAAACAATGTCTGAAATGGTAATTAACAGTTGAACAATAAGTAAATGGATCGAATATTTTTTCGGTCGGGGTCACTATTTGTTATTCGGTAGGAAGGAATCATAAACAAATAAATATTCAAACAATTAATAAGGTCTTATCATTTACAATTTTCCAAAAAATATCAAGAATTAAGCATAAGTTTTCAACATAAAAAATCATATCATATCGTAGCTATAGAAAACAAAAAGCAATAATAATTAATCAGACATTTCAGTGCAGAGCATTAACCTATTTATTACTGTATGATAGATTCAAAGTGTAAGTGACCTAGATAAATCTGCATTATCAGGGGATTGTAAGATAACCCACATCATAAAGAAATCGGAATCTGTTATGGTTAAGGCAATAAAACACCTACAAATTACAATCAATCAGTCGTTTCCGGGTGTAAGTATACTGTCGTGCATTTCTTCACCATCTTTATTCATAACAACGCAGCCACGAACCACTGTTTAAAGCACATTTATTTAAACTAAATTTAATAGGCATTTGTCTGCCTACAATAATAAGTCAACTATTAGATAAGAAGGAAATGGGTGGCCCATAAAATGAACTTACGTAATAATAAATGTGGAAAGAAACCAAATAGTTGTGGCAACTGGCAAGTATTGTAACTTCATCATTTTGTTGAAATAACTACTGACCATTGATGCTGTTAATACTTAAACGTTTAGACGTTATCTAAACAGAGATAAGTTTGTTTACTCGTTTTGCGTTATTTGTTTTACCAACGTGTATTGTTTAGTGCAAGTTTCCCATGTGGACATTGGACAATGGATTATTAATTGATTAATTAATTAATAAAGGTGAACTTGTTTCACACTAAGGCGACACTCACACTCAACATACGCTCAAAATTGATTTAATGAAATCAAATAGGAATGAGAGTGAGCCTGGTGTAACGTCTATTTGATTTCATTGTATCAATTTTGAGCGTATCTTGGGTTGTAAAGATGTGAAATTTAATGTGATTAATTCGTAATTTGACTCCTGGAATCTGGAATTAATCTAAATTTCTATCAGGACAGGGTGGTAGTTTCGGAGACGTTATGTTTGTTGACATTCCCACCAGTAGGTACAATTACCATCACCATTTCATTCCCACTTCCGTCCAAACAGCAGAGCTGGGCAGTATTTTGTAAATACTTTTTAGTATTCAAATCCTTTAAAGTATTCAAATACTTTGTAATTAAATACTTTTTTATGGAAGCAGTATTTGTATTTGTAACTCAAATACTTTCACAAATATTTAGTATTGGAATACTTCGTAAAGTATTCGAATACATCGCAAGGTATTTGAATACTTAACCTTCCTTTTTTACCAAAAATCGATTACACCAAAATTTCTCGGGAAAACACTTTTTCTTATTAATTTTGGGGCGTAGAATCCAAAACAATTCCTACTTTTTCGATCAGACTTTTCAATCAAAAGTTATAGACTAGAAACCAATTTCGAAAGAAAATTCAAAGGGCTGTAACTTTTGAACTAGTAACCCAATCTTGGAACTGTTTGAAATTATGGATTCTACAGGCCACATTCTATAAGAAAATTTTTTTCCGGGTCGATCTGAGACAATTTTCTTTTCGGGCCTCAAAAAAAGGCAGTGTATAACCTTCCTTTTTTACCAAAAATTGATTGCATCAAAATTTCTCGGGAAAACACTTTTTCTTATTAATTTTGTGGCGTAGAATCCAAAACAATTCCTACTTTTTCGATCAGACTTCTCAATCAAAACTTATGGACTAGAAACCAATTTCGAAAGAAAATTCAAAGGGCTGTAACTTTTGAACTAGTAGCCCAATCTTGGAACTGTTTGAAATTATGCATTCTATAGGCCACATTCTATAAGAAAATTTTTTTCCGGGTCGATCTGAGACAATTTTTTGTCGGGCCTCAAAAAAAGGCAGTGTAAAACCATCAGACTTCTCAATCAAAAGTTATAGACTAGAAACCAATTTCGAAAGAAAATTCAAAGGGCTGTAACTTTTGAACTAGTAGCCCAATCTTGGACCTGTTTGAAATTATGGATTCTACAGGCCACATTCTATAAGAAAATTATTTTCCGGGTCGATCTGAGACAATTTTTTTTTCGGGTCTCAAAAAAAGGCAGTGTATAACCTTCCTTTTTTACCAAAAATCGATTGCACCAAAATTTCTCGGGAAAACACTTTTTCTTATTAATTTTGGTGCGTAGAATCCAAAACAATTCGTACTTTTTCGATCAGACTTCTCAATCAATTTAGAAATGTTTAGGGAAAGTTTCCATTGTCACAAAATCAAATATAAAAATCCGATCCAACTGAATACCGAACGATCCTGGAGTGAAACTTTTTGATTCGATAGTCTACGTAACTTAAAAACAATAGGCACCTTTCTTATATCCTTACGACCATGTGTACCAATTTTCAAAGCGATCGCACGTTTCTAAACAAACTATCATGCACACGGACAAACGGCTGGTCAAAAATGGATCCGTTCCAAAATCGCTAGGATTAATTTCAGAAAGGCGCACGTATCATGTGCACGACGCTTTGAAAACTGGTACACGTATTCTTAAGGATATAACTGGTATAAGCCTGGGTATAAGAAAGGTCCTGGTAGGTACCTCCTATATAATAATAATAATAATAATACGCTTTTACCCCCCTTAAATTTGTATATAACAATAGAAATATAAAAAAGCTAACCCCATACACAAAGTATAACTTGATTTTTTAAGTAGTATTAAGACTTTTATCTAGTATACTATTTTAAATTTTTTATTTTACATTATGTCTATTATATGTCAATTATATCTGTCATATGTGATATATGAAGCAGTCTATTACGCCCAAGGGCATAATGAGAGGGCATAATGGATTGTCATCTCATTATGCCCTCAAATGGCCTGTCAAATTGATTGACGGAGTTATATTATGTCATAAAAAAGATGCAACTTGATTCGTATGGAGCACTTTAATGTTGGGCAAAAATAATCATGACATTTGTATATTGGAAATGCATTCTTTGGAATGATGAAAAATAAAATGTTGTATGCACCTCAGGCATTACTCAATATTTAACCCTCGGGCGACTTACAATCCCTCGGGTCGGAGGCCCTCGGGCTCTGTCGCCCTCGGCATAAATATCGCCTTAAGCCCTTGATGCATAAATAACTATAATGTATTTAAGTGACAAGTATTTGAATATTTTTTACTGTATTCGAATACTTTTCAAAGTATTCGAATACTTTTTATAGTATTCGAATACCTTTGATAGTATTAGAATACTTTTGAAAGTATTCGAATACATTCTAAAGTATTTGAATACTTATTTTTTAAAGTATTTGAATACTTTTCTATGTATCTGTATCTAGTATTCGCTTGTGCTGGACGTAAAAGTATTTAGTATTCAAATACTTTTTGAAAGTATTCTGCCCAACTCTGCCAAACACTATATAAACAGAAACCGAACCAGAAAGGAGGTCTTAGGATTCTTGCCCTGATCCGAAGTACCACAGTCCTGTTCCGTGGTTTGAGTAGCGATTGTAGATCACACTCTAACAATAAGCTACCTTTTCTAATCATTATATTACTTATATTCTACCAAGCTTTAGTTAATTATTTTAATGGTGACCTGGATCTCCGATATAGAGTTACCCAAAAACAGCTGCCTGTGTTCCTGAACGTAGATAACCCAACATACACAGGTTGTGTTGACGAACAGGAGATTGTGTAGAAGAGAGGTTTTAGAGGTCCTTAGGTTACGAAGAGGCCTAAGGGTAGCCTGTAACCGCTAGACCCGTTACAGGGGAGCGTGAGCGTCGCCTTAATGTGAAACAAGCTTTATTACAGTCACGACCGAAGCTTGACAAAGATCGAGATTCACACCTTGATATTTACTTTATTAACGAACTCCTAGCGAGTTCATGATTTTGGACTTTCTGTCCGTCCGTCTGTGGAAAAGATAACCGAACGGTACAAGTATACAAATTCTTAACACCCCAATTCGATGAGTAAAAGAATATCAGAGCATCCTTTCCCCCTAATTCCTTCACGTCTCTTTCTTTTGTTGTTCCTCCACTAGCCCTTATCATTTTTTTGATACCTCCATCTCCATCTTGCCTCTTTTATCCGCTGATGACATTTTCACGACTGATTCTCGCCTATTTCGTATTTCTATCACTCCCTTTAAATTGCTCTTCATTTGGTCAGTTTTCTTTCTTGCATGCTCTCTCCCTTCAGATTTCTTCCTTTAATTCCACATTCACGCCTACTTAAATCGGCCTTTTCTTTATTTCGTTCTTCTTACGCGTCTCATCGTGGGGGCCGTTTCTTTCACATCTGTTTCTTTGGCGCCTGTTTCAACGTCAGACTTTTTGACAACCCTTTCACGTTTCTACATAATTCCTCCCCCCCCCTCCTTTCACACTTCTTTCCTTCGCATCTTCTTCTTCTTCTTCTTCTCTGCCTACCGCGCCCTGTTAATTCCTTCCAACTACATTACACATTCCTACTTAAGGCATTCTCTATCGCACGCCTCCTTCACGGTTATGGTACGGTCTTGTGTCGTTATGTGTCTTTCCATTCCGTAAAAGTCAACGAGCATAAAGGCTAATGGCCTTAGAAGCCGAAGCCTTAGGTGGGGTTTTCGTGGATATACCTCGATAATGGGAGAGCCCCACACTGATCCGGACTTCTAGCCGGAGTGTACATAAGAAGCATTTCCCCACCTGTAAAAAAAATCAGTCGCGTCTGAAAAATATGCTCTAGCACTTGCTTGTGCTATTTACCACCTACACCACCTATATTTTTTCCCACATTAGATCAGCATAAGAAATACCTACCGATTTCTATTTCTGTACAAATAATCGCACTCTATCCAACTGCGTTCGTATAGTTCCGTGATGAAAGTAATTCATCTGGGTCATACTCGAAGGGGATGAAAACTACATTAAAAGGTATTTTAATTCTTTATTCAACAACCTTCGGTTCATCTTTATTGTGATAAAAATTGAATACTGACCACTTCTTACACACTATGCCGTTTTAATGCCCCCTATTTGGTTATTACTTTTAGGTCAAAAAGTAACATTTTATATAGCAAACTTTCGGACCTCGATATCTGACTGGATCTAAAGTTGAGGGCGGCACTATGCATGTCGGCACTACATAAATTGTTCAGCCTCATTTTCTGAAACGAGTAAAAAGCTTCTCATAAACAAAAACAATTATAAACATATATAATACTTTACTCTAGACTGAGAGACTCCACCACCTTCTCTCCGTTTCCTGGTGTAGCAAATTTCATTCTAAATCGTATCTCTTCGTACTCTATTAATTTATATTCACTTGCAAATATAAATAAATAACATATGAAACAAATAGCTAAACACCACTCCGTAACCGTTGCAACTAATTTAAGGGTAAATCCTCCCTCACTTTCACTCCAACATGGTATACTTTCGCCTATGAAGTTAAGCTCACAGCCATCTTCAGAAAATGTTATCTGTGATATCTTACCTTTAAATTCTGCTAGCGCCATGAGAATAGATATTCCAGAAACTATAACTAGTAAGCAACAACATACAGACACTGCAATTTTAGAGTAGAGAATTTTATTACTTATGTTGATCTCTGGATGTTTCTCGTAAAAATTTCTAACAAAATAAGAAATTGCTGACTGGAAGGTAAAATATTAATAGAAAAATTATGGTTACCGTACTATGCAAACCTGCACGCCCATGTATGCAGAGCCAAATCCAAATGTCATACCGGCACCCATGAGGTGTATGAACAGTATTGAGGTTTCTTGAAAATTTCCCACAATGGTAAGACCGATACTTGATAATATACCAATTACCAGTCCCAAATTATTCCAAAATTTATTCAAGTTTACTTCAGCCATTGCTTGGATGAATCGAACTTGTCGATAACGAATGTATGCCGTAACAGTGACTAAAACAGATATAATCAGATCTTGACGAGTGCCAGGAAATGAATAGGTACAGAGCAACGCGCCAATGTTGAGTACCTGACCAAATAGACAACTTTCTGGTGGTGTGGTACCAGTATCACTGATGAATGGAATGTAAACATGGTTTTGCAATATTGCCAGTGAGAATCTGCAACAATGTAAACTAAAATTGGTGATGGCCCACTATTATAATATAGTACGATTGTGAAAAGATTCACTTCCACTGTTATACAAAGTAATGGGGTGAGGTATATTGGTTCGCCTTTGAGTAATTAGACCACAATCTAACACAGTCTATCACTAAATTGTAACACTGATTTATTTTCTTATTTTATTGACTAACGTTTGTGCTAGTTTTTATTTTTCTAACATAATGTTTTAAATAGGTCCGTGAAGTTGGAGTGTCGACTTGAAAGGAATTAAGTCCCATGTATCTCATAATTTTGTGCTCATTTTGTGCTAATTTGTGCTGCTAATTTAAAATTTTGTTCTCATCAGCTTAATGAGTAATTCAACTTTTTCTGATGACACTCCAACTTCACGCTGGAGTGTCAACATTGATATTTTCAAAATTTTCTTGTACTATAATTTTGTGCTCATTTTGTGCTAATTTGTGCTTCTAATTTAAAATTTTGTGCTCATCAGGTTAATGAGTAATTCAACTTTCTATGACGACACTCCAACTTCACGCTTGAGTGTCAACATCGATATTTTCAAAATTTTTTACTATAATTTTGTGCTCATTTTGTGCTAATTTGTACTGCTAATTAGCAGTCCATGTACTGTATTGTCTAAGTTGGAAACCCATAATATTCTAGACACCGAAAGAATTGTAAAGATATTCATAGAAAAAGAATATGATGGTGTAAAGATAGAAAGCTAATATTCTCCAAAAGGTTTCGCAAATACTTGCAGTTAGTAATGAACAATTAGGTACATCTCCAGGTGTAAATGTTCGAAGAAGGTTATGTAATGTCGTCTCACGTGACGTTGCCAATGTCAATTTCGCTAAGATGGCGGGTCCAGGTAAATTGTTGTTCTATGGGTAAAATTGCGATGTCATCCACGTTCTGCGTAAGAAATATCCAGGTAGAGAATAACGTAAAAGTAATCCAGAAGAGAAAATGATAAGAAGTTAAGAGAGAAGTTTGAGCGAACCTTGAGGGAAGATAAAACCCTAAAAAACGTATTAAGAAAAATGCTGAAGTATATACCTCACACTAATTACTTGCAAAGCGTATTCAATGGAGCACAGCCACAGCACATCAGAAATAGAGAAAAAACACTCAATAGAAATATGTTCACAGCCAAAACAGATTGACACAAAGTCAAGTAAAAAGTAATGGCGTATCGAGAAAAATTTGCACGCAATTAACCCAGATCCAGATCGTCTCTGAAAGGAAGAAGTATAGGACATGCGTATGTAGAAAAAAAAGAAGATCACGACCTCTAGTGGCGAACCAAAGAACTATGGTAATAACAAATATACTATAGAAATGACTGGCATCTAAACTAAACGGGTTTACAGAGGGAATACCTAGATGGGGTGAGAAATATAAAGAGAGGTGCAACTCGATTAATTTAGATGAGGCTTATTGCAAGATGCTTCAGTACATCGGCAATTTGGTAAAGAATAATCGATTTCCGCAGATGTAGCAGCGTTTATTTATTTATTTACTATTCCTCTCTTGTTCTGGGCCCTCAACAGGCTTACGCCCAATTACAGAGTGACCCGCATAGTGCTTTTTAGAGGTGCCTCTGCAGAGAAGGTATTAAGTTGTTTTATACTACTCCGGTATTTACCTTACGAATTAGGAAAACTGCAGAAAAACGTCATTCAGAGTAGCCGGCAGAATGCTCGCAACTGGTCTAAGGTATCTGCCACAGATGAAAAATTCACCTCAATCCAGGTTCGAACACCCGACCTCCGGAATTATAGTCCAACGCTCTTTCATTGGTTTTCAATCGGTTTGTGTTGTTGGGTGGCCTTTAAGCATCAGAGTCGCACGTCTAACACACTCACACCCCTCCCACTGTGGACTGTGGGCACGGGAAGCTTCGGGAATATGTATCGCAATTTTACATATAGTTGCGCCTCTTTGCTATTTCTCACTCAACAATCAACGAGTAAAATTCGAAGTATATAAGGAATATAAATTTGGAATATCAATTGGTAAGAAAAGAACGCTACATACTCCTTTCCTTGTTTTATTCCTGGTTGCCGTATTTACCGCTCATCAACAAACAATCAGATATTTAAATTTGTGGTCTCTACGCTTCATGCTTCTTGCTAAACAAAACCAAAACTGGTGAATACTCAAAATGTTTCCTCCAAAATTTACCGCCCCTAGAATTTGCCGCTCTAGGCGCGCAACTAGTCCGCCTTGTGGGAAATACACCCCTGGATGTAGCTCAAGGGAGAGTAATAAAAAAAAGAGAGCGAAGCCGCAAAAGGCACCTTACTGTGGACATAAAAGTTAAAAGTAAAGAGGTTTGTGCCTAAGGCGAGTAAAGTGCGAGCATTTTTCATGCATTATTCGGGACATCCTTAGTCCATTGTTATGTGACCTATGTTTTTCGTTATTAGAAGCATCTATAATTAAAAATAAGGAAGTTAGTATTGGGCTTCATTCCGTTCTTCAGCCTGATAATTGTCATTACGACTAATTATACACGAAAATTGGGTAACCATTTTATCACAAAATTCCATTATAATTCGGATTAATGTTATAAGTTCATAAACACAAATTCAGCCCTATTTCTTTTGTACGATTTGTTTGTTTCTAATTCTTTTAGTAACTGCGTTGTAACTCAAAGTTGATTTTTTTTTAATTGAAGTTACAATTTACCATGGTTTAAAAAAATTTATTGCTTTACGAGCTTTCCTAAAATGTATAATACATCATACTTATTTATCATACTTATTTTCAAGAATAAGCTTTTTACAATAAATTTTGCTTATTAATACATCTTGCCTGAAAGATAATAACAAAAGTTTTTTTGTGGAAAGAGTAGCTAATTAGCTAACACTCCACCCACTATAAAATAAAGACAATAATAAATAAATAAAAAGTTGGTTATTAAAAGGTCTAGAAAGAAACGACTGACGACATTGGTTATCTACATTAAAAACTGCTTGAATAATGCTAAAGCCATTTCGTTCTAGCTTCAACATTTTTCACTTTTTCTCTCTAGTGAAAAAAACAAAGACGGCAGCTTATTTCCGGCAAAGGTAATGGAATAAGCATAAAAAATAAGGACACGAGTACTAAAACCGTTTTCGTTTATCTGCGCTAATAAGAAAATTACCCATTTAATCCCATCGAAATCGGACTACACTGTACATAGTACGTACGGTACGTACCCACAGGCAGAAAAATTTTATTATTTAGAAGTTGCTTAAAATGATCTAAAATGTCGACATTTGATGAAATTTTTTCCAAAAAAACGGCGATGGCAATATCCAACTAACTGACACTACAGTGAGTATCTTCAGAAAAATTTGAATTTCTCATTAACCTGATGAGCACAAAATTTTAAATTAGCAGCACAAATTAGCACAAAATGAGCACAAAATTATAGTAAAAGAAAATTTTGAAAATATCGATGTTGACACGCAAGCGTGAAGTTGGAGTGTCATCAGAGAAAGTTGAATTACTCATTAACCTGATTAGCACAAAATTTTAAATTAGCAGCACAAATTAGCACAAAATGAGCACAAAATTATAGTAAAATAAAATTTTGAAAATATCGATGTTGACACTCAAGCGTGAAGTTGGAGTGTCATCAGAGAAAGTTGAATTACTCATTAACCTGATGAGCACAAAATTAATGATGAGCATAAATTTACTAATTATCGATCTGGATCTGGGTTAATTGCGTGCAAATTTTTCTCGATACGCCATTACTTTTTACTTGACTTTGTGTCAATCTGTTTTGGCTGTGAACATATTTCTATTGAGTGTTTTTCTCTATTTCTGATGTGCTGTGGCTGTGCTCCATTGAATACGCTTTGCAAGTAATTAGTGTGAGGTATGTACTTCAGCATTTTTCTTAATAGGTACGTTTTTTAGGGTTTTATCTTCCCTCAAGGTTCGCTCAAACTTCTCTCTTAACTTCTTATCATTTTCTCTTCTGGATTACTTTTACGTTATTCTCTACCTGGATATTTCTTACGCAGAACGTGGATGACATCGCAATTTTACCCATAGAACAACAATTTACCTGGACCCGCCATCTTAGCGAAATTGACATTGGCAACGTCACGTGAGACGACATTACATAACCTTCTTCGAACATTTACACCTGGAGATGTACCTAATTGTTCATTACTAACTGCAAGTATTTGCGAAACCTTTTGGAGAATATTAGCTTTCTATCTTTACACCATCATATTCATTTTCTATGAATATCTTTGCAATTCTTTCGGTGTCTAGAATATTATGGGTTTCCAACTTAGACAATACAGTACATGGACTGCTAATTAGCAGTACAAATTAGCACAAAATGAGCACAAAATTATAGTAAAAAATTTTGAAAATATCGATGTTGACACTCAAGCGTGAAGTTGGAGTGTCGTCATAGAAAGTTGAATTACTCATTAACCTGATAAGCACAAAATTTTAAATTAGAAGCACAAATTAGCACAAAATGAGCACAAAATTATAGTACAAGAAAATTTTGAAAATATCAATGTTGACACTCCAGCGTGAAGTTGCAGTGTCATCAGAAAAATTTGAATTACTCATTAACCTGATGAGCACAAAATTTTAAATTAGCAGCACAAATTAGCACAAAATGAGCACAAAATTATAGTAAAAGAAAATTTTGAAAATATCGATGTTGACACTCAAGCGTGAAGTTGGAGTGTCATCAGTGAAAGTTGAATTACTCATTAACCTGATTAGCACAAAATTTTAAATTAGCAGCACAAATTAGCACAAAATGAGCACAAAATTATAGTAAAAGAAAATTTTGAAAATATCGATGTGACACTCAAGCGTGAAGTTGGAGTGTCATCAGAGAAAGTTGAATTACTCATTAACCTGATGAGCACAAAATTTAAAATTGGCAGCACAAATTAGCACAAAATGAGTACAAAATTATGAGATACTTGGAACTTAATTCCTTTCAAGTCGACACTCCAACTTCACGGACCCGTTTTAAATAAGTATAATAGAAATTACAGTACCGGGTGATCAAAAATGATTGCGTTTGAATTTCCTCCAAAACAGAAATGATAATATGCCTAATGTCATTTATTGCGATGGATTAATTAATTAAAGAAAATTAATAAAACCAAGTACAAGCACTTCTCCAAATCCTCTTAGAATCTCCTTTTTAAATATTTTTTTAATTTCGAAATTCGAATTCAGCGACCCAAAAGACATAATATAAGCCCATGATAACGAGGGCACCTCGAAAAATTACTCAAGTGCTGTACTTCGATTTTCATTTCTATAGGTAATAAATATCAGTTCATAATTTCTAAGAGATGTTTTATTTAAACAAATTAACGCAAAAGAGTGTTAGAATAAATTATATGTCTGGGATCATCGTTTGCGGCGAAGTGTAAGCCTGTATAACTGTTTTACTGCACGAGAGCCATCCTTTGATAATATACCTACAATCAAAGGAGCCGCCGCGTGCCGTATGCCTTTGCGTTGTCCATCTTAGTAGTTCAACGAAGAATATACAAGTTGCACATGTTTTCAGAGTATTTATTCCTCAGAATCGAATTTCTATATCAAATTTGAGCTATCCTTTCACCTTCCGATCGAAATCGCTAAAAAATTGAATTTTGCGAAAGTATATTCCCCGATCTCCTAAAATTAGTCTCTGTAACCCCAATATTCCAAACAGGAGACACAACAGACAAAAACAACTATCATCCAATATCTCTCATTCCGGTTATTGCAAACATTTATAAAATAATTCTATTTAATCAAATAACTGAATATTTCGATTCAAATAACGCAGTCAGGGCCGGATCTACATATTTTGCGCCTATGGGCCTTGGGAACAACTAGTAAAGTAAGCAGGTCCCAAGATTCTGAGATAGGATGAAATACACAGGATGTGGCTCATCTTTGGTGCAATAAAATCCTTCTGTTAAGGCAAGATCTGTGAATCGCAACTTATATAACACACATAGATTGTAAATCGAATAGTTTTTATTAGCAGAATCGCGCCCCCGAGATGAAGAACTTGCCACTCGTTCGGCGTTTCGACCCTATACAGTTGATTGTCTAAATCAGTCCCGGCGATATTCCGTGTCGTAACTCGTTTGATGTTTTTTTGCCACCCCCGTGGCCGTCTCTTCAAGGCGAAAATGTTATAACTGCCGTAATTTGCAAACTACCTACTTTAAGATGATAATAAAAAGGTATTTAGTAAACATCAAGGTATTTTTTGCACTCCTTCGTTCTAAATCGCGTTTTTCCAATAGAACACGAAAGTCGGGAACGTCAATTTTACAATTATTGACTATCTACTTTCGCGCACTAGTGCCTAAAAATTCAACGAAAATATCTTTTTAGTGCGGATCATAAACTAATAAGTAGTATGATGGAAGAGCAAAAAAGAAAATATAAATACACTTTACATCATTCCCTTTAGTACAGGGGCAAAAATAAGCTTAAACCAGAAGTTTTGAACAATAAATTGACATTTTAAATTTCTAGATTTCTACTTTATCGGCATAGAGGACTTCATTTTTTCAAAAGAATATAATGTCGCAAAAATCTCGCGAAAAGGATTTGGATTTATATAAATTCGATTTAACTAATCCGTGCAAAAAATAGAATACATGTTACGTGCGTGAACAGTATTTGCTTGATTCGCGCCGCCAAACTTCGCGCTCATCTGCAAAATAACTGTTCCCCAGTGGCGTAGCTATCGGGGTAGTAGGGGTTGCAATTGCTACCCGGCGCCAAGTACCGAAAGGCGCCGCGGTTAGTATCGTTTATTGGTTTATTTATTATATTACTTACATTTACATCGCGGTTGGGATTAATCAGAGTAGCAAAAAGTCAACAAAAATAATCTTACAAGATTTAAATTTAATTATCTAACTGTGATACAGTAAACCTCTAAGCTTATGTATAAAAGAAAAACCTTTATTTAACATAAAGGCCTATTGTATCTCGAAACTTGACAATATCACATTTCAACTAAATGAAGTCATGCGAGGTGCACGTGCAAGGATGCGATGCGAAGTATTGAACGTTATCATTATTGCCCTGCACCTGCATGTGTATGCGAGTTATCTTTATTTTTTATTTTTGGAGAAAGGCGCATTAATTGTTTTGCTACCCGGCGCATCGTACTCTAGCGACGCCACTGCTGTTCCCGCACTAATAATGTAAATAACTATTAGTCGTAATATCACATTCAATGGTTGCGAGACGTCAATTTACAGCAAAAATAAGTAGTATTCAATAACAAAAAGTACAAACAGACAAAGAAATTCATACAAAACTAACAATATTAAAAATAAAAATAAGACAAGTTAATATCACAAAAACAATAGGTGTACTGAGGTACTCCTCTATGGAGTAAAAACAATACGTTAAAAAATGATTCGGGGGCTATTATTTTTGGATTTGCAAAGTCTATAATATGGAATTCTCAGATTTTTTGCGTTTCTAGTGTTGTAGCTGTGGACCCAAAAATAATAAAATAATAGTTAATCATTTAGTTTAGCATTTACAGAAGGTATATAGTAATTCTTGCCAGTAGTTTAGAAGCAAAATTAAAAGTAAAATTGTTAGAGGAAGCCGCCAATAAAATCGACTTACACATATCCTATACTAAAAACAGAACACAGATCTAATGATAAAAATTGTGGTAAATTCTTAAAGTTTAAAATTGGGGAAAAAATAAAGAAGTGGACCAACTCTCATTTTCCCTATATGTGCTACCTCAAATAAAAAAAGTTGTTCAATGGATAAGTAATCAAGTTTAGTGCGCATACCTAACGCAAAAGGATGTAGCAAGTGGCAGACCTTGGTTGGTATTGAAATGGAACAGTAGCTTGTTTATGACGATGTTACTCGTTATTTTAAAATTGTTAATTGTAATTGATAATTTTTATGGGATCAATCAGGTATTGTACATAATTATGCTCTACTCAATGTCATCCAGCAAACTTGTTTGACCTTTAATACCTTTGCAAATTACTGACATTCGAATGGAGAAGATTTGTACCTAGCAATTTCGCGTGAATATTGTTACATATATGTGAAAAATGACACTTACAATGTAATTAAAATATACGTTTATTTATCAAAGAAATGAATATGAATGTCAAGTAATTACACACATTAGAAGTAGTTTACTTTTACTCTCACACTTTTTAGTCAGGTAAAAACCACTAAATTAACATAAAGTTGCCTAATTTTTTTCTATAAGTTGTTCGATGGCAATAAGATGATGCCACTATTTTATTGATAAAGTAACTCTAACTCTCTACAGTCTACACTCTACAGTGTAATAAAGAATAAATTCCTCAATAAATGTACCACAATGGAGACGGAAGTGTACTAAATTTTTCGATTAAATTACCTAGGAAACCCTTTTAATTAAAGAGGTATTAAATTGGTATAGGAGATGTTGAAAGAATTCATTTTTTCCAAGGAGATATATTGGTAATCATACTATTTTTAGTCAAAGTGCTAGGTACTTTTCAATTTTAAAATAGTCACGTTTGCACTGTTTGAAGATAAAAACTAGGTACTTATTTGAAAATTGGAAATGATCAACTAAACTTCAATTCATTTATTAATTACGGAAATATGTTCCCTATTAGAAATAGATTGTTGCGGTAATTATAAAAATGTAAATTTCCAAATACGTAACAACAACCTTCACACACGATGCCGCCAATAATAATCTAGAAAATAATGATAGGAAAACAACTTACGTGATTATAAATCCTATGAGAAACCAAAGACCTGTCAATATGGGCCAGTAATGTAATTTAAACATATTCCGCAACTTGTTCACAGCCATTACGAATATTAAATATTTTTAACCTATTTAGATGTTAAAACAGGAGGAACCGACGAAGAACTAACAACGAAAATTTTCAACTCTCGGATTCCAGAAACGTGTTTTATGTGGTATTCATAACCTTCACCCCAATGTTTTAAGGTGTAATTTTTATCTGTCTACTATTTCCGTGTACAATGTTCAACAGTTGTTAAAATCTTACGCTACTGCATTTTAGCTAATTGCAAGGGTTCCCCCGTAGTACCCTAGCAACAATACTTTTGTGACCATGGTACAATATAGTAACCATATCGGGACCAAATAATAGACTACAACTAAGTCACGTATTTGACAGATTATTTGTGTTTCTGATATTTACTATACTTAAGTAAAGCTAAATAACTGTAATAGTAAGTACTAAGTAGAGACCAACCAACTTACCCACATAAAGTAAGGTGCCTAATTTATTTAATAGTAAATTAACTATAATTAGTGCTTCATGGAATGTTGCAAGAATTTATTCTAACACACATCATAAAACAAGTATAAATTGTGCACAACTCTTGTGCAGATAAAGCGCATTTTTTTAACCGAAATAGCTTTTGTTTTGACATTACCAATGGATATATTTCTTGCAGACGTCTCAATCGCCCTTTGTGAGTACTCTCTTCAGACAATCCGTTCTTGAGGTATAAGGGAATATACCCAATCACGATAAGAGGTCGAGGAGGAAGGCTATGGTTGGTAGAAATGAATTCCTTTCGTTGAAACCTTTCATTAGAGTACCATGATAAGAGGACAGAAAGAAGGGCAGTAGTTGGCGGAAAACGGTTCCTTTCGTTGAGACCTTTAATTAGAATACAATGAGAGATCAAATTAATTTTTAACCCCCCCCCCCCTCAGCCCCGTCGCTCACTGATCTCGAAAAAGAGGCGCACGGGAAAGTTATAGTTTGTACAAACCAATTTATTTCGATGAGACCTTTCATTAGAATACCATGAAGGGCGGAACATGTGTTTACCCCCTCTCCCCGCCCCATTTCCTAAAGTTTAACTTAGCACCACTAAAGGCATGCGTATGCAAAATCTGGTACCAATTGGTTGTCATATGTAAAAGCTATGCACGTTTTACTTTGAAAAACAGCATCTTAGGAAATAATTCGTGGGGGGGGGGCCCCTTTTAGACTGCGAAATTTGATGGCCGTCTGGCACACCTTCAAGGTATAGGCTACCTACTACAAAAAATTCCAGGACTCTAGGACCTAGGGAAGTAGTTCAAAACGGTAGAAGTGGGTCCGGACGGACAGACAAAACGCAAACAATAGCACATTTTTTTTAATATTTAAGAAATGCGCTAAAAAGAATGATATACAAGAAAATCCTGTAAAAAAAAAATTTCAATGCCTTTTGAACACACCGCCCGTTTCCAATCGAATGTAAAATCTCTCATTTAAAAAATTGCAATGGTAGAAAGTTCCAGAGGCCCCTCACAAAGTTGGAAAGTTCTTGATAAACCTGAAACAGATTTTTGCCAATTAAGTTACAAACAATAATCTTGAAAATAGGAGGGCGTCATCAATGGCCCAATGGCTAAGGTTAAAGGAAGTATAATTCGATTGTACCCATTCTTTTAACCTGAACAACTATTAAAGAGCTTTTTGAACCCTTAAAGACCCTTAAAGAATAACAAGTTAAAAAGTAATCGTAAACGATTTACATAAAGCGCATTTCCACTTGCATTCATTTCCCATTTGTAAGATGCAACTTCTGTTAAAATCGTAAAAATCCGGCCACAAATATGAAAGATAGCGTTGCACATGGGCAATCCATTGTTGACGTGCTACTTCAATTTCAGTTTATGAGAAGAATTTCATTTCAATGCTTTTCTAAATAAGAAAGTTGGAACTGCGCATGCGCAAACCTAAATTTTAAAACTAATTTACTATAACTAACTAATAAACTAAGATTTTCTTTGTGCGCCTAAGTATCAAATTTCACTTAAATAGTTCCATAGCACTAAGTGGCGCTATCAAAAGTATCAAATTTCACTTAAATAGTTCCATAGATAAAAAAGTTGGCACGGCGCATGCGCAAAATAAAATTTTGAAACTGGCGCTAGATTTTCCTTTATTCCAAGTGCCTATGTATCACATTTCATTTAAATTCTTCCATAAATAAAAAAGTTGGCACTGCGCATGCGCAAAACCAAATTTTGAAATTGGCGTTTGATTTTCCTTTATCCCAAGTGCCTATGGATAAATTTCGTTTAAATTCTTCCATAAATAAAAAAGTTGGCACTGCGCATGCGCAAAACCAAATTTTGAAATTGGCGTTTGATTTTCCTTTATCCCAAGTGCCTATCTATCAAATTTCGTTTAAATTCTTCCATAAATAAAAAAGTTGGCACTGCGCATGCGCAAAACCAAATTTTGAAATTGGCGTTTGATTTTCCTTTATTCGAAGTGCTTATGTATCAAATTTCGTTTAAATTCTTCCATAAATAAAAAAGTTGGCACTGCGCATGCGCAAAACCAAATTTCGAAATTGGCGTTTGATTTTCCTTTATCCCAAGTGCCTATGTATCAAATTTCGTTTAAATTCTTCCATAAATAAAAAAGTTGGCACTGCGCATGCGCAAAACCAAATTTTGAAATTGGCGTTTGATTTTCCTTTATCCCAAGTGCCTATGTATCAAATTTCGTTTAAATTCTTCCATAAATAAAAAAGTTGGCACTGCGCATGCGCAAAACCAAATTTTGAAATTGGCGTTTGAATTTCCTTTATCCCAAGTGCCTATGTATCAAATTTCATTCAAATACTTTTATAAGTAAAAAAGTTTGCAATTCGGTTTATGGTCGATATGCGAAAAGGGCACTGTGAATTTTGAATCGATTCGATCCAACTTTTGGCATTGCGTATTATATGGCTAAATCTATGCCCATATTGAATTTCATGCAATTCAGTTTCATAACTAACGGAGATGTAAAAGCGATCGAACATTTCTAAACAAAGTTATCGTTCACACGGACAGATAGATGGACAGACAGACAAAGAAACAGACGGAGAGACCAACCGGCAGGCGACAGATAGCAATGCAAAATTATAAACGATCTCTAGGATCGTTAATAAACGGCAAAAGTGTAAAATTATGGAACATGTAAAAAACGGTTTTTTTGTTTTTTTACAATAACTTTTTTTGTAAGCGGTACAGAAAAAATTCCTTCCTTGGTACAAGACTCGACACCATAACGAACCAAATAGCGAAAAAAGTAGAACAATAGCTCTTAAGATAAAAAAACTAGTAGCGTTGCAAAGTTAGCGGACGGACGGACGGACGGACGGACGGACGGACAAAGTGGCCACAATAGCGCATTTTTATTTTATTTTTGTGGAAATGCGCTAAAAAATTAGTGGTTATATGAATCCTTAACCAGAATTTAAAATATGTACGAGTGTAAATATTGTTGAATACTTTTCTTGGCACTTGAAATAATAACAACCCTTGTAACTCTTTAATTGTAAAGCCACAAAATTGGATTACGGAAAGTTTCAGAACTATTAAGGGACGCTTCAGATTCTCTGTGCATTCGAAGCTTTTCTCAAGTTTAATATAATTGATCGATTTATTTGCATTTATCGAATTTTCCAATTCTATTTTCAGTATTATGTCTATCATCGCCCAAGGAATACTTGATTGAATTTGCAGTGACCCAAGAGCTCGTTTTTCTATATTTGTTACAAGTTTAATTTGCCTCGAATAGATCATTGTCAGAAATGTAATAAGTAATACCTATATTGCTCTGCGTAAGAAGCCTTCGATTTGATATTGACATTTGTTATTAAAACTCTGAATAAATATTGTAACTTTTGCAACTTTTTAAATTCAAAAGTAATTTTATATCTGGAACTGGAACAATAAATTTTGTTTTGCCTTAAATTCCGTTTCTTTGTTGTCTAAGTAGATTACCTACATAACAATTACCGCTCGTATATTGCATTATTTTATATCACTAGGGCGTCCGTTAAATCTACTGGACAAATAATGTCATGGAAACACATGTATGAAATTGGCCGCAAGCCTGTTGAGGGCACAGAACAAGAGAGGGATAATAAAAAAATAAATAAGCATAGCAAGCTACTAGCCAAGCTAAAATCGCGGTAAGTATATGAGCAGATACGTTTAAAAACCTTGAAGCAACTGTTTATATAGAAATATATTAGTTCTTTAATTTGGAAGTGCAAATTCTTCTGTTAACAGTTAAGGCATAACATTTATTACACTTAATTAGTCCCTTGGTATTAGTAAGCCAAACATTTCATGTGTTAGAGGTAATCAAGGTTTGTGCAAAATCGGTGTAACACACGTTCAGGTTTAAATAAATTCATGTTCAAGTTAAACAGCATTGTGTATTAAATTAATTACATAGAATTACTCCACTTTTATAACATTGCATCTTGCTACCTACCATTACTTCATAGTGATCAATTACTGAAAGATGATTTGTTCAAAGATACAATTTAAACTGAATCACTGGCCGATATTAACATTTTCTTGGTTTGTACTAACTTTCATAGTAAGGTAGGCAAACGTTATTTTATCGAATTATATTTATGTGTTAGTTTCAGCTATGTTTGGGCTTTGTGTAATGACCACATATATCCTTTGTTTCCCTACATTAGCGATACTGGAGCTTTGTCACCTGAAAGCTGTATGTTTGGGCAAATGATGAACATTGGAGCTGTTATGAGTATACGATGTCAAATTTAAAAGAAGGTCCGAATTCTTTGATATAATTTTTTTAGTAACGGTGTGCCATTACACTCGATACCGCCAAATAAGATTCCTCAATGATGTGGAAAATTCTACGTTTGTGCACAAACTGAACAAATGTGGATTGTATGTCGGCGCAGTTGGTTGCTTAGGAATAAGTATGGTTGGCAACTTTCAAGAATCCCAGTTCCTTACATTGCATCTGGTGGGTGCTGTTATGGTATTCTGTTGTGGTTCCTTGGTTTTGTGTATACAGGTGATTACTTCCAGTTTTTCAAAATAGACTTATTACATACACACTTTCTAGACGGCCATAACATTTAAGTTACGATCTGCCTATATAAAATATCCAGAATTTGGCATAAGCAACAAAGTCATATATTTTAGAGTATTTCTTACAGTTTGGATTCACGTCCTGCAGACATCCACGGTGGTATTTTCTATACTTGCATTTTTACTGTACAACAACACCGCAGAGATGTCCTTTGCGAAGTACCTACATTGGTCTGAAGAAGATGGAGGATATTACTTTCGTTTGGTTGCAACTTTTTCAGAATACGGTGTCGTATTGGCATATCTTAGTTACTTATTGACTATGGGAAGAGAATTTAAAGCATTAGAGTTTAAAGAAATTCATTTTAAGAGTAAGTATTTAAATGAAACCGCAAACCAGGAAAATAAAATAGTATTGTAAAATAATGTATGATTTTAACTACAATATTATATTATTATAACCGTCCTTCCACATTCCGACTTATGGCGATAAAAAACAGGAGACATTAGGAAAATTGGGACAATTTAACAACACTAGAATTTTCTAAAGTGTTATAGTGTCTGGGTATTTAGTGGTGGTAACCTAGGTGGTAACGATCTTGGGAATCCATGTCAGCCGCCACTTTTGTGAAATATTGTCTATAAACAGAGGGTATTATCATTATTTGGAACATTGTGCAATGTGGTTATAGTTTTCCAGGAAATTTTGTTCGTGGTTCTTATAATGCACAAATGACCATTTCTCGTACTTAGAAACTTGCGTCGTTTGTGTACATTTTGACAGTAGATGGTGAACTGTATATCACAAATTTATATAATGGAGAAATTTTTAGTTTTTTGTTATAAATTAATTACGAAAATTTAAGCAATATGAAACAAGAATGTATGCTAAAGAATCATTAAAAAAGTTAGTAATAGTATGACATTGAAAACTATAGTCTGATACCCTAATGCCACTGTTCAACTTTTTGAATAATAAAATACGGTTTACCACCAAAACAAAAACTGAAACGAAAAACACCAAGAACCTGCAAACCACAATAAAATTTTAAAACGTTTAGTTGTTTAACAATTATGGCAAATTTGCGGTCGAAAAGTACAGGTTTTAGCAAGGTTTTATTGTTGTTTTTGTTTTATTGTTTGTTACGCATCTTTACGACCACGGCACAAAAGTGCCAAAGAACTAAATTAGTTTTGAAAATTCCAGTCATTTATATTTCTAAAAAACCGGTTTTTTCATTAAGAGATAATTCGATTAATTATTTTAGTGAAAAGTGCCACTAGGAGTAATTTCTGAGAAAATGTTTGTTGACACATCTCGATGCACTGGAAGTGACAGCTAATTTATTTCAGCTTCAGTTTCGCGGGCGAGACACGTCGCAGGCCACTTGTTAGCGCTGCTAAGTCAGTTAGCTGCAGAGACGCGCCACACAAAAAATCAGCTTTTCGGATGAGGTCCATTTCCACCTGAATGACTATGTCAATAGGCAAAATTTTTGGTTTGAAATGAGCTTTAATTATATTTATTTGTTACTCAGTTGTAAACGTTGATTAACAAGACAAAACGCAAACGGGTAAACGTCATGTTTAAACGCTACTGACTTGTAAAACTGACAGCAGACTTGTAAAACTGACAGCAGACCTGTAAAAATTTTACAAGTTAGTAATCTAGTAATTTCATTGGCCAGAATTAATGCGAAGTCTCTGTTACATGGATAATATGATATTTTAGACATTTCTTCGAGATCAATTTAAGAACTAATTATTTACGTTTACAAATGAGTAACAAATAAAATATTGTACATTATACGCCAGGTAATAGTTTTTACTGGCTCTAGGAGATGACAGGCTCGCCTAACGGCTCGCCAGTCAACTTCTCCTATCGCCAGTAAAAACTCACTTACCTGGCTAATAATGTAAAATACTATTACTGGCCGGCGAGATAAATTTTCGAAATGGGTACGATCACGCTATTAGGCCTCCTTCTACCCCCAGCCGATACACCACCCATCCATTTTTCCATCTTCTTCACTGCGTTGTCGTGCTTTTTGATGCGCTCGAAGTGGGTCAGTTGGCACCTCTGAATCACGTGTGAGAGACCCTCCCCTTGAGTGCACCCTCCTTGACAGCGTTGTTCACCCTCCGGAATATAAGGCAGACCTTTGGTCGGGTAGTTCGATGTTCTCCCTCACGCTCCGTCCTCTGCAGGGGAATTGCGTCTACAATCGTGATAAGGCGTTGTGAATCGCCTCCTCTAATCTCTCACTAAAAGACGTCGGTGCTACTTCCTCGCGCCAGATGGCATCGGGTGGGCATTTGACCAGATTTTCGGGCTTCTTTATAAAGTCTATTGCGGAGCCCGGGTTTTCCAAAATAGCAGTCGTCAAAGGATCGTTAAGACGCTTAAGGATTTCGAACCTCCATGCCAGGACCCATGGAATGAGGCGCTTAAGCTCAGGGATTCCTAGTGCTAATTGATGTGCACTTCTTCGCGTTAACTTCCATTCCCCTGGCCTGGAGGAAGGTCTCCGTGTCGTGTAGTGTGCCTAGCAATCCCGATCTTCTAGATGTATAAGGTCGTCTGCAAACGCCAAGGCGACGACCTTCGTAGCCGACGCAACTATACCACCGGTTCCTTGACTGTTTAGTTTGACTATCTGCTCGTCTACCACAAGGTTAAACAGGGCCGATAGCGGATCACCCTGTTTGACATTTACGCTCCTCACTGGGTCATTTACGGTCCGATCGGGCCTCTTTTTTCTGTGGCCTGCGGGGAAAGGACAGCGCTTTCAGAGAATGTTGAAATCTAGTGCTGTTTAACCTCGTGAGAGGTCGATGAAGAAGACGAGCAAAAAATTGCCGATATCGACCCCCTCGTTTGGTGTCATTCGAAAGCAGATAGACAAGGATTAAAAGCCTGGAAGTCGACCTCTGATTAGAGACCTTTTTTACTGCAGACATCTTGAGAACCGATTAGGTTCAATGAATGCAGCCCGCGGCCTCTTGGTTAGCGTAGAGTTGTTATCGGAGGCTGTTCTTGGACATTTGAATATACACTACAACATTCACACGTTAAGCCTTGACGATACATAATCAAAAGTGTCAAAGCGGTGACATTGCATTTGATATGGTATCCGCTATGCCCAGTTTGAATTTTATGCAATTCGGTACATAAATGGCCGAGATGACCAAAATTATCAAAGTCTTCGTGTGAGATGGAAGGAACTCCAGTGCATTTTTGTGTGGCACGTTTGAATTTTTGACTCTGCCATCAGTAACATCTCGTCGGGGGCTACCATATTCCATATTTGTCGATACCGACTTCCAACGTCCCGTTCATCCGCAATTCGCGTTAAATTTTTTTAAATAAATTTGCAAAGATGCGCTAAAAAGGCACTGTAAATGTTGAATCGATTAGGCTCAACATTTGGCATTGCGTATTATATGGCTAAAGCTACGTCCAGTTTGATTTTCGTGTAATTCGGTTCATAACTAACGGAGATGACAAAAGGGCCTACCTTCCGTTCTCTTTTAAATCGATGGACATGCAGCCACCGAGCGAGCAAGAGAGCGGGAGGATAGAGAGAAAGCATAAAAGCGAACTCGGCACTAAAAAAGGTTACTCGGAAGAGGAAGCGTTCCAAAGACGGACGAATTTTTAACGCTTGCACAGCACTTATAAATACCATTTTTTCACGCGTTAATAAGAGGAAGTTGTAATGAAGCTTGTAACAAGAATAAGAATAAACAATTTTTATTTACGAATATACCTAAAACCCTTCATTTACAAATGACCCAGTAAACCCGTAAGGGGCTGTTTACTTGTCTACTTTTTTCGGAAATATTCTTTTGGTGTATGTGTAAATTTTTAAGTGTTTATATTAACCATTCTAAATGATTTTAAAAACAAAGAAATATTAAACAGGACCACGGAATAAGTAATTATTACTCCATAATAATAATAATATTTAAGAAATGTCCAACAGAAAATCTTTCCAATTACAGGACAAACTTAAATCATTCATTAAGCACGTAGTGTTTCTTATAGCTTAAATAATAACTAAATTAGTAAACTTATAATTAACATAAAAGAACTCTAATAAAAAATGACAGGTACACATGTTGTTCCTCTAATAAAACAGGCATTATTACCTGGTCAACTTTCACTTCTCTGCAGTTATTAAATTTGGCTGAAAAAGATCAATTAGACTAATGAGTACCTAATGAATGTATTTAAAATAAGGCCACAGGGCCTATTAATAGCATAATGGAATTGTTTGAAAGCATGGAATGTCAATAGTTCGACAACGTTGACAACAAGCACAGAGACCTTCTGGAACCGGAAACTGGTTTCAAAAAGTCGAACGCCAGATAACCAAACTCGAAAGCGCCTATCGGCGGACTCAAATGTCTGTACTATACGGTTTTTACTACTCTTCCTATAATTACTTATTCAGTGATGTTATTTATATCGTACTTCCTAACCTTACGCTGCATGTTTTATGGGAAAAAACATATTCTAAATAAAGATTGTAAAGATAGACTGTAGTTTTCTCTTCAACAGAATTTGCTTCTTCGGAACATAGGCATTTTGGTGTATTATTTTTAGTTTGTTATTTTAAAGAAATATATCAGATTGGGTTGCGCTGAGGTCTTCCAATAATCCACCACTCCCATCGTGATTTGAAAACCCCGACATATGTATGCTGTGTACAGTAAGAGGTCAACCTATATACTCTCTGACAAAACATTTACATCCTCGGTGAGATCAGATTTTGACTTCTACAGTGTCATAAAAAGTAGAATGGTTTCAGTATGCTTGAAGACTTTGTGGCAGGTGTTGCAAATGAAGGGCGAAGCTCTTAAAATAACTTCTCTTTAATAATACAATAATACACCCTTGTGGTGTTAGCAATAACTATCCAATCCAGTAATAGATTTTGTATTGTTACATGTCATGTGAAGTTAGCAGTAGCTATGCAGCAATAAATGCGCATATTCATTACTTTCAAATTTTGTTGTTGCTTTTAGCATTGAATATCGAGTTGGATATTCAATGCTTTTAGTAACTGTAAAAGATCTGCATAAGCAAGCATAGGTAAGTGTAATTTGAGAGTATTTTTCGTGGACTAACTCAGTTAGTATGAAGCAATCTTACCACCCCCTCGGCACGGTTCTGAAAAAAATATTAACATGCTTACTTTGGGTTTTCTTTGTCTCTTAAGTAAAGTTTGATGTTATTTTCGAGTAGTTAACAATAGCTTTCGGACTATACGCTTATGTACCGGAATTTTATGTTTAAGGTGGCGTTTACAAAAAGTGCAAAAGCTGATGCTTTGCGATTTTCTCAATAACTTTGTTTCGAGGTAAAAAAAATTAACTTCTGTTAACTATACCGATGGCAGCTAAGGGTTTAAGCTTGTGAATGAAGTTAAATTGGATAACAAATTTTTATCAGTGTGTGATAAAAATGAAAGATATATATTTTATATGGGAGTTTTTGAAGAACTTCTTTCTTAAATAACGGCGAAAGTAGAGGAATTGGCTAAATAATTTTTGTTTCATGCAAATGTCGGAAAATTATATATTTGAATGAATATTATTTCAACCAAAAATTTATACCCAGAAGGAAGTTATTGTGGAAACAAAATTCCACTTTTCCAATGTAAACGCCACCTTAATGGGGATGTTTCAAATATGGAGATTAAGAACAGATTCACGACGGCATTGATGCCCCTGACGCTCTAGAGCTATCACCAGCACACGATAAACTATTACGATCTTATTATTATCTTTTTCTTCCATTTTGAAATCTCAAAAAATTCAAATCTTACAAAAAACCACTCTCCTAAATTTAGAGATAAGGTGGCTTTTAACATTCTGTTACTTACTTAAAACTGTATAGATCGTAACCATTGCAAAAAATTGATGTATATAGGTTAGCGAACATACAGTTGACATGTGACCGAAGCATTTAAAAAAAATTCAACCAATTAATATAAGACAATAAGACAATTGTCAACGTTTGGAGATCTGAGGGATGAATTATCTAGGACTGCGAGTAAATACCATGTCAAATTGAATGTTTTGATTATAAAATATCGTCAACCAACTTTACAATTTATTGCAAATTGTAAAATTACCCCCCCCGCCCCCCCCCCCCCGCCCCTCAATTGCTCGATATTTTAATCTGTAGTGATTTTCAAATCGCACATTTATTGAGTAGGTACAGGTAGTTACTTAAAAAAGATTTGTCAAACCTACTATATACAAGTCATTCACTGTCGGTAGTATTGCATGGAGTTTATTGGCAAATATCGATTTCTGGTTCATGAATATCTATATGTCGAAACTCCCAACTAAAGCTGCTTATAAATGTCAAAAACGAGACGGCCAATATCCATTCGTTAATTGTGCTTGAGATATGCCAGTAATATCCGCCGTCTGTCTTTGTCCATTTTGTAACGTCACGACCTGTAAAGAAAGTTTACAATGAATCGTCCATTTTCGCGAAGAAAACAACCAGTGCATACTCGCCTTGAAATTGAACTATGGAAATTACTCCACAACCAAATGTTCCTATGCAACAGGCAATGCATATTATTGATGAAACTATTCTTCCTCTATTGATTATTATTTGGCCTGCGTGGGGATATATTTTATGCGATATCCAAGTCTAAAAACCTAGCTTTATCTTCCACTAGCGTGATTTTTTACCTACCTGACAACATTGCCAAATGGATCCAAAGACAAAAGCTAAAATTGCTCCAAATAAATGTACCAACAAAATATTGGTCTCTTGAAAATTGCCTACCAGCGAAATTCCGATACAGGATAAGACGCCTGTCCACGTCGAAATCGTATTGCCCTTCTTGATTTTAGTACTTAGCGAGTGTCTTTCGCACAAAAGCCTTACGTGTCTATATCGGATGTACACAAGGATAGCAACTGTAATGCAAGATATATTAATACAATTAAATACTATAGTTATTTATTAAATAAGTACATCAGAAAATGTATTTTTTAGAATTTAGTCGTATCCTTTACTATCAGTAATTTTATCACAGGAAACTTTTTCGACACTAATCAAGTTTTGAAGGTCCCCCGTAAAGTTCTAGAGTTCTTGACAAATATTCGAAGTACCGTAAAACCGTTTTTATATCTTGGGGACTTCATTACATAATAATATATGCGACACTTTATACACCACTTTAAAATTATACCAAAAATACAATAGTATATTAAGATACAAGTGTATAATCAAGTCTTTAAAGCACGCGCAACGAGTGCGCAAGTGCTTTAAAGACCAATTATACACGTGTATCTTATAGTATTTTTAGCGCATTTTTGAAAAAAATACGCTATTATATTCGTCATTGCTGGCAGGCCGGCTGTCCGCGTTAGATCTCCACAACTACAATAGCTAGAGACTTCAAATTTTCACTAAAAGCTTTCTGCTATAGTGTAGATGTGCAGGCACTAGTCTATTTTGAGTTAGATTACTTATGAGATCGATAATTGAAGAAAATAATTTCGATATGGGTTTCGGAGGTGCTATAATTTTACCGTTAGATAGCGCTACCAGTATAAAAACTTATTATTTACTTTGTGATTTGTTTTACAAAATGAAGACGTACCGTCAATTGAAATTAAATAAAATTAATTATTTAACGCAGCCAAAATTACTCGTGAGATCGATAATTTTAAACTTCGCTAATAAAATACTCACCTGCATTACCAAAAATGCCCTTTAATCATGCATATGCTGATTTACAACTTGTTTATTATACCTGCAGTATAATTTAAAAATATGAAATACAATGAAGTCATATTGACGTTACACTCGAATACATGTCTAATTAAGTGGGCTGGGTGTTCGTAATTTCACGATTGCCATGGAAATGTCACTTGGCGTTTGCTTATTAAAATCATCGCCTTTGTGAATAAAACGATTTCCGTTGAAAAAGATAATACACCGTCCATTAAATCGCTTGTTGTAAAATCTAAACAAACGTTGGTAGGTTTAAAATCCAAATCCAGTAAAACCTATTATCAGGAATATGAAAAGTTGTTTCCATGGATGAATAGGAAGTTACTTACGAATAATAAAGTCTTAAATGCATCGATAATGCTGGCATATATGACCGAACTGTCAAAGGTATTTAAATCTTCTATCTTTTAGTGCATTCATTCAAAACTTTAAAGCAATGCTGCGATTAAAAAGTGGAACAGATTTGGAAGCATACCCTAAATTACGCGCGTTTTACCAAAGGATAGGTACAAAAGCCAAAGAAATGTTCTGCATTTACAGAAAGCGACCTAAGAGGATTTTTTATTTCATCCAGATGACAGTTTCAAAAGTCATACTTGAAGTATCGTTACAGCAACTTTAAAGCACGTGTGTTTTAAAGGCCTTTTTTCGCACGCATTTGAGTGTTTAAAACGGAGATTGTGATTCAGGTATAATAAAAAATACATTCCCAACGACAAAGGTTATAAGAAGTCTTTTGGGTAGATTGATGGTCTTCGTATTCAGTGGAGTCTAAGCAGTCTAAAAAAGTTGTTTTCCGAATTGTGACTTAAAAATAATGTCTCTTGAAATGCGATTTTCCGAATCTCTTTTTACATTGTAACATTGGACGATTTTCAAATTTTTCTTTGTACCCGAATGGGATTTCTGATCTGCTTCAAAATTTATATACCGTTTCCGTTGCAATTTACGGAATTTGATTGCGGCATTTTATTTTATTCCGGGTGTATAAAGTCAACATCAGGATTTCTCTTTGTGCCGGGACCCAGCGGTACCCTGAGTTTGGTTTTGAAAGTTAATACAATTGAAAGTTATGGTCGTTATCGAGGTCATTATGCCCTAAGGTACGGGACACAGCAATATATTGATGTGTGAACATGTAGACATTTTCGTCACACCAAAATACCAAAAATAATAAAGGGGCATCCTGTATATGAGAACGTTTCAATTTATTAAGTGTAGATCTGGAGGATCTACGAATAAGCACAAAGTTGGTTTATTGTAATAAAAGACCAGCAGGTTGGATGAAATTCAATATTTATTAATAATATAATAAAATAAAATAATAATTATTTATTTATTTTTTTTTCTCTCTTCCAGATCAACCCAGACCTACCGGAGGAAGCGTCTACTGCACTGGTAATTGGCATTCCTCTTAAGGTAAGTCTTCTGCCATATATCTATATTTCTGTATATATATTTATTTCTTTCAGATATTTTATTACATCCGTGTATTTTACAGGATTGTTTAGTACCCCTAAGGATATATTATATTTATGTCTATAGGTATCTAGTTTAATGCAATCGTTCATAATATGTTGCACCGTCAGGGTTTCCCCGCACTGGGCACATTTTTTATTTCTCTTTCCCAATAGGAGGTGACTATGGGTTAATCTAGTATGTCCAATTCTCAGTCTTGTTATTGCAATCTGATCTTTTCTTTTAATTTGCCATTTGGTACACCTCTTCCCCTCTAACTGTGGGTGGATTACTCTAAGGTGTGTTTCCTTTGTCGACCATACTTCCTGCCATTTTACAACGAAATCCTTGTTTATTTCTTTTAAAAGAAAATCGGTGACCTTTTTCCTATCAATTTCCGGTGTTTCTTCTTCCCACAGGTTTCCATCTAATTTTCCATAATCGCGTATTTCTTTATTCAATTTCACAATTGCCGGTATAGTTCTGGTCTGTTGCCATTCGTATCTGGGGTGTAGTATGGGGTTTTTGATAACTTCAAATAAGAAATGGGATGGTTGTGCAAGTAACTTTACCGCATACCTAAGGTGTTGCTGCTTGAATCTCAAGTAAATGGGTAACGAATTATTTTCGACATTAAGGCTGTCTATTGGTGATGTGCGGTATGCCCCCGTTATTAATAGCATGGCTTTGTTCCACACCCCTCTATACTTTTAAGTTGGGATCTGGCCGCCGATGTGTATACCACCGACCCATATTCCAACTTACTCCTAATGAAGGCGTTGACTACCTTTGTGAGCGTTTCCTTGTCCGCTCCCCAGGTATGTCCACTGAGCACCCTAATCCTGTTTAGAGTAAGTTTGCATTTTGATGATATTGCTTCAATGTGATGTTTCCAGGTAAGCTTTGTGTCCAGATTAACCCTACAAATTTTAAATTTTCAGTTGTGGGTAATTTGTCACCCTGTAGATATAGGGGTGGAAGTTGGTGGGTCTTCCTGAGACGGCAGAAGTGCATTGCCTTTGTTTTGTTTGTGGAGAAAGCGAACCCTCGCTTCGTAGCCTCTTCACTTAATATATTTATATCCATCTGCAGTGCCTCATACATGCTGTTAACATTATGGCCAGTTCTTACTATACACAAGTCGTCGACATACAATAAGGCCTTTGTATCTATGGAGATTGCGTCTGCTATGTTGTTTATTGCTATAGCAAACAAGGTAACACTGAGCACCGAGCCCTGAGGTATCCCGTTCTCTTGCGTAACGATCTGCGATAAATGTTCACCCATCCTAACTTGTATTCTTCTATCTTTTAGAAAATTTTCGATAAATATTGGCAAGTGACCCCGGAACTCCCACCTATGCAGTGTTTCTAGAACTCCGTATTTCCATACTGTGTCGTACGCTTTTTTAATATCAAAAAATACCGCAGTGGCGTGTTCAGTATTAGTGAAAGCCCCCTTGACAATGTAATCTAAATAAAGGAGTTGGTCCACTGTCGAGTGTCCCTTCCTGAACCCGGCTTGATATTTACTTATTCGACCATCCTTCTCCAGCATACTCACTAATCGATTATTAACCATTCTCTCCATAATCTTGGACAAGCATGATGTGAGGGAAATTGGGCGAAAATTTTCCGGTTGTGAATTGTTCTTATTCTCCTTTGCCAGCGGTATAATTGTTGCAAGTTTCCACGACTCTGGATAAGTGTTGCCCTTCCATATGTTATTATATAACTGCAGCAGTGCATTTTTGGCTTCAGGGGGCAGATGCTTCAGCATGCTGAAGGATATTTCGTCGTGCCCTGGGGCCGTATCTTTGGACCGTTCAAGCGCACTTTCCATTTCGGTCATATCAAAGGGTCTGTTATAGGATTCTTGATTGCTGCTTTGGAAGTTTAGGGGTACAGATTCTCTGATTTGTTTTTGAGATTTAAACTCTTCACTGTACTGTGTATCGCTGGATATCTCCCGAAAGAATTCTACTAGGTATTTGGCTATGCGTTCTGGTTCTTTCACGGCTGTTCCATTTATTAATAGGGTGTGTTCCCTTTGTGGTCTGGTAGATCCGATGATACACCCCACTTTCTTCCACATTTCTCTTTGAGAGCTGAAGTGCGTCAGTGTAGATGTATATTCCTGCCATGATTCTCTCTGTGCCTTCCTTTTTGCACTCCTTTCTCTTGCCCGTGCGATCTTAAATTTCACCCAGTTTTCACTCGTACGGTGCCTTTTAAATATATTCAGCAATTGTTTTTTTGTTTTATTAAGGTTCTTAATTTCAGCATTCCACCAGGGCACCGGGGGCCGCTTCGTTAATAATTAATAAATATTGAATTTCATCCAACCTGCTGGTCTTTTATTTTAAATAATGAAATTCAAAATATAAGAGTTCATCGACAAAATTGAAAAACTAGAGTTATCTAGGACACTCTTACAGCTAAAATACACAAATAAATATTGAATTTCATCCAACCTGCTGGTCTTTTATTTTAAATAATGAAATTCAAAATAGAAGAGTTCATCGACAAAATTGGTTTATTGTATTTGAATTTGTGTGTTGTTTTTCCTTTTAGAAGTTTATGTTTCTTATTTAAATTGTAACGCTTTTATAAATCGTTTGTTTAGATTTGTGTATTTAATTGGAAAACGTGAAATTGCGTGTTAAAATGTAGAGGCATCTGGTCGTTTCGTTTGCGATAAAGAGTTTTATCAGTTGAAAAAAGAAGCGGTGTAGTACCTTTTGTTAAGGTTTTCATTTCATTAAAAGTAAAAGTTTCTAACGTCCGAACAGCCACCGAAAAGTTTGTCATCTTATTTATCAACCCAATTTAAATCATGGAGTTAATAATAATATAATAATATGTTTATTTCCACCAAATTAAAGAAATGGAAACCACAGGGGTTATCGGTTCACCGACTCCCTGAATACAATTAGAATTAACATAATCAAGTAATGCTTATAACTGAGTAATATAATAAAAAGGAAAATATGAAATAGTAATAAATGCAGGTGTGGTTGAATATTATTATGACTAAATTGTCTCTGGTTGTTGGGGTGGTATATAAATCGCCTGAAGTGAACGGTAAGATATTCTGTGATGAATTTGAGGAGACTTGTTCTGAGTTTTTACTCAAGGTTGACTTCTTCATTTGTTTAGGGGACCTAAATATTAATATTTTAGATACAGCGTCGCATAAAACACGTTATTATTTGAACATGTTAGAATGTGTAGGTTTGGTTCAAATTATTAATGAAGCAACTCGATCTGACACGGCACTCTTAGACCACATATTGGTATCCGACATTAATCGTATACGAGAATCTGGCATTGGTGGCACATTATTCGCTGATCATGAAACCATCTTCTGTGAAATCGAACACGATAAAACTGAACCATATAATTTCTACAAAACGGTACGTAATTTTAAAAATGTTAATATGGAGCTGTTTTTTGCAGACATTCAAAGAGTGGCATGGCAAAGGATATTCTACTTGAGGGACGTAGACTCAAAAATAAATTATCTTAATAATCATATACTAAATATAATAAACAAACACGCACCCTTAAAAATAGTTTCAGGAAAAACCAAACCCCAGGCTCCGTGGTTATCTGATAACACGAAATACTTAATGCGTCTAAGGGACAAAGCTTACTGTAAATTCAAGCAAACCAAATCTCCACAGCAGTGGGAATACTATAAAGCGCTTCGTAATCTCACCAACAAAACTGTAAAGTTGGAAAAAAAAGCGTTTGTTGAATTTAAACTTAGAGGAAATGACCCTAAAGTCTTGTGGATAGAGCTTAAAAAATTAAAAGTTGTTGCCAATAAGGAGAAATTAATTCCTCCGCATCTTCAACGGGCTGATGAGATAAATGATTACTTTGTTGATAGTATTCCCATTGTTGCTGGCGATCAGTTTAATATTGACAACTATTGTGTTTCCTCATCTCAAATTGTGGCCAATTTTGAATTTTCAGTTATCGATGTACCTACGATTGCCAAGATTATCAATAGTATTAAAACGAAAAGTGCTGGTTGGGATGGATTAAACGTTGACATTATTAAACTATTTTGTCCTAACATTTTGCCGTATGTGGCTCATATAATTAATTATTGCTTACTTACTAACACATTTCCAACCCTTTGGAAGAAGGCAATGGTAATTCCTATCATCAAAGGAGCTAAAGCAGACAAATTCAGCGACTTACGCCCAATCAGTCTACTGCCCGTACTGTCAAAAGTTTTCGAAAAGGTAGTGGACGGCCAACTACGTTGTTACTTGACCCAGAATAACATTCTCCCTGACAATCAATCAGGGTTTCGGCCTGGTTATAGCTGCACCACTGCACTACTAAATGTTACGGATGATTTACTGAAAGCTAACGATGAGAACAAGATGTCTATATTGCTACTCTTGGATTTCAATAGAGCATTCGATGCAATTAATCACCAAACTGCAATTTCCATCTTACGTGCTATAGGTCTTTCTCCTAATGCTACCTCATTACTTCATAGCTACCTAACGGGCAGGTCACAGTGCGTTACTTTAATGGGTAAGTCATCTGTGTACAGGGAACTATCTAGGGGTGTGCCGCAAGGGTCTATTCTTGGCCCCTTATTGTTCACTATATATACTTTGTTTTATGCATCAGTTCCTAAAGACGTGTCTAGTGCACATGTATGCAGACGACATGCAGTTGTACCACTCCTTTAAAAGTGAACATTTACACGAAGCGCTAAATCTGATTCAGAGTGACCTTAAGGCTATTGAAAGGGCTTCATTGGAGCACTCGCTGGTTCTCAATCCTCTAAAATCGGCAGTCATGTTGTTTGGTAACAAGCAGAAAGTCACCGACTTGAAACATTTGGTAAAATTCAGAATTGGCGACAAAGCTGTTGCACTAAAGGAGGAAGCAAAAAATTTAGGAATAATGATAGACAATTCGTTTAGATACAACAAATTACTCAGTAGCTACATTCAGAGAGCATATGCAAATTTTTAATGCATCTTTCCCCATAGGCATTACTTGTCCCAAACTTTAAAAGCTCAACTCTGTAACGCGCTGGTACTAAGCCACTTTAATTACTGTTCGCAAGTCTACGGTCCGTGCATCACTCAGGATATGTCTGCAAGAATACAGCGAGTACAAAACTCCTGCATTAGACTAGTATTTGTTCTTAGGAAGTTTGATCGAGTATCTTCCAAACTAAAAGAATTACGCTGGTTCAGCATGAGGGATAGGCGACTGTTTACTGCGGGGTGTATGTATCATAAAATTATCTGGAACAAATCTCCTCCATATTTATACCGCAAAATATCTTTTAGAACCGATGTTCACAACTTAAATTTACGGTTTAGCAGTGGGATTACTCCACCCTCTCATCACACAGAAATGTACAAGAGATCTTTTAGTTATAATATTTTTAAAGTAAGTCGTCTGTTCCAGATTTGATCAAGCCCCTTTCTCCGCAGTATTTCAAAATTAAATTGCGTCAAATATTAGCTGATGACTCTGTACGTACGTTGTAGATTGTCATTCATATTTATCTTGTTTAACATGTCTCTCGTCTCTTTGTCCGCTTTTCTTAATATATTACTCAATCTCTTTTCATCTCATTCTCATTTAGTTACTCCTATGTGCATGTTCGGTGTAATAAAGAAGAAATGAAGTTTCTTGAAGCTGTCGACGAGTGTTTTTGTGTCGTAACAGGACTTCCCCACATAAAAATTTTAAAATTAATTAAATTTAAAATTTAACGATTCTCACTGAGAACTAGGTCCTCATACCTATTGACAGGCTTCCCCTGTTTCATTTGCAGTTGATATCTTTTGTGTATTTGAAATATGGCTTCTAACAAATAAATCTACTATACCATCTCCATTAAATTCGATTCATAATCTTGGATCCACATTTTTTCGTACAAATTGGACTATCCATCTAAATGTTTCTCTTCGAGTGAAGTGTTATTGAATAATAATTATATTTGCTTCATCTACCTCCCCCCTCCCTCTTTAAATAGCAACCTTGTGGCACTCGAGATTTTATCTCTTTTGTTTATCGTAGCACTATTTAGGTATCTACAACCATACACAAGTGCCATAGCAGAAAGCGTGATCAATGACAATTGTGACATTGCCAAAAATAATAAAGTGACACAATCTTGAATATCGTCTACAAAACTACTTACTAAGAATAGCCCCAGTGTTCAGCATCTGGCCAAAAATACAACTCTCCGGTGAAAACGTTCCAGTGTCGCTTATGTAGGGAAAGATTGGGTTGACGTCTCTTCGTAAAACCGACATAACGTACCTAAAATCGATATTTAGCGAAGTTTAAGAAAAATTATTGGTAATAACTTACGTTGCTATTACGGTTACGGGAAACCAAATAAAAATCGCAATTGGCAACAAGTAAACTTTTCCCATTTCTATCATTGAGTGCTTCTACCAACTATGAACAGGAATTATAGTACATTTAGTAAATACTATCGGTACAAATAATTTAGATACATGCATCATTACGTTTAATAATTAACTTTTAGTCTTAATCTAAATGAAGACCTATACGCACACCAGGTACGTACTCAATTTTTAAATTTAGGCGAACTTCTCTTTAAATAATTTCGTTAAAAAACTCTTTGGTGTAAAAAGTGACTATGGATTTGTAGTTGAAAGAAGCCGTAGTTTAATATTACAATCAATAATTCGTTGCCCTTCTTTGTGCAATCTCTCTTAATAATTCAGGCTGTCAATATACACTGTAATACAACTTGTCCATATTGGATTTTCCATTTATGAACAAAACAGATCATGCTTGACCGTTTTATTCCAATAGCCACAAAAATCATCACTTGTTCGTAACTTTCTTGTGGAATAAGTAGTATTTCTTTGTAATGTAACAGTACATCACCCCGTGTTAGATTCGTAAGATATAAGATGAATTTTATTTACGACCTCAAGCAGGTAGGTATCCTCAACTTCACGTGGCCTCCCGAAGTCCACCCTTAAGTTTTGTAAAATTTCTGCCAAAATCGTGCCACGTGATCTCCGTTATCATGGGAAATTAGCTTAAATCATGTTCAAACAGCTTATGTAAGGCAGGTTTTGGTAGTTTACTGAGCATACTGAGAGAGATGCTATCGGATGATTCAGTGTAACAAACGTAAGTGAATTCAAAATGTTATACTCGGCGGTCTAAATTATTTTCAAAAAGAATAAGTATAGGAAACTGAAATAAGTTATAATTTTTCAATTTCCTATGACTTCGTTGAATTTCAAAGAGTCTTCCACAATCAACAATACCGACTTAATGCTACATAAGAATGCTTTAAATTTTGATCGTTATTTTACAGGGTGTTTTATAGTAATGGTTAATTGTAATAACTTCAAACCTTAAAAAGTTGATTTTTGCACTTTCAAATGTCGAAAACAATCGATCAATTATTACATTGCCTATACCTATCTTCTATGTTTTCCGTTTTATTTTAAGTAAAGATTATATAATAACATTTGGCCATTGTTTTTTAAAAATATCTACATAATAGGATCCTTCTCTATCAAATGACTCAAAAAGTAAAAATTACTTCCATAAGAAAAAACAAAGCTGATGATGGTTGACCAGAGACGAAACGTCAAGTTTAAAATTTAAAACTAGCATTTTGTAGAGGGAAAAAGTTGCCATAATAATGTGTTATTTATTTTGAAATTTTTTTTAATAACTTCAGTAAAAAATAAAAATGATTTTGCAAAATTTCGGTTTTTTTTCGAATATCTCCGAAAGTAGTCGGAATTTTTTCAGTTTCAAAACTACCTTTTGTTAAACATCAAAATAAGCAACTTTGCCAAATTTAAATTACCTACCTACCTCTTACAGTTCCCGAGATCCCCATGGAGGCTCCCATTTGAATCAGCCTGTATTTTAATTCCAAAAGCAAATACATAGAATAGTTCTACCGCTTGTTATACCTTACCCTGGTCTTCACGAACATTATTAAATGCTCCCTCCCTTTTATGATACGTGTGAATTCATTAGAATGCGTTATTGTGAAAAATACTTAAAAAATCCAAAAAAAAATCAAAAATGAGTTGCTATCGAGTCGTCTTTGGAATGTTTGTTTACATGGGAAATCGTACGCCCAAAGACGACTCGACAGCAACTAATTTTTGATCGGCCGTTATAACTTCATATCTATGCACTAAATCACGCACGTTTTCTATTTTAGAAATTGAGGTCTATTCTCTTTTATCAAAATGAGCATTTTCATCTCCCCAATATTATGATAGTTTTCTTTATATTCACTTACACCCATTCAAAACGAAGACACTGAAACAAATGTTTTCTTATATTTTCATTTATTTATATCATTAGTCTTTATTTATGAGTGGCCGGGGTTTCAGCCAACCCAACCCAACCCAACCCACAATACATTTACAAATGTCCATGTCCGATCCCGGATACGAATTTGGCTTTCCTTTGTAGTTCTTTGGAAATTGTGAATATATTGCAAATTTTCCCTCCTGTTGTTTATGGAGCCCGTTTCTTCAAATTTTATTAAAAATTAAGAAAAGATTATGTGCAGATAAGGTAACTAGAAATTAAATTACTTTATTAGTATAATGAGCATATAACCGCATGAATCGTCAAATTCAACAGGAATTTAAGATTAAACACAAGTTAAAATCCATGCTGACAACCATTGTTGAGGACAATTGTTGGAACTTGACTTAATTACTCAAAATAAACGACGAGAAATTAAGGTATAAAATTCAACTTGGACCCATCATGCGGGATTTGGTTTTTATTACTACATTAAAAGAATCCTCCTGCTGTCATCTTTATTGATAGTTAATAGAATACAACCCTTTTTTTTCAGTTTTTTAGTTGAAAAAGTAACCACTGTAATTTTATCGTACAGCCTCACTACCTGAATTTGATTTAAAATTAACATTTTCTCTTCAATGCGTTACAAAGTCCTGTGTATATATATATATTTTAAGTTTAGATTATTCTTTTTATATGCAATCATGTTAAGACCAGGTCTATTACCTACCCTGATAAATTCATAACCGAGGTTACAATATCTTATTCTGCAACGGAATGAGAATGGCAATAAGGTTTTTAGTAATGTAAATATGGAATCATTACTTCCAAAATCTTTCTTAAACTCCGCAAAGTTGAGTTTTTTAGATGAACTCATCATGGGTTTACATTATTTAATATCGGGAGTCATTACATCATTAGTCACCCAAACGCAATGAATTCCAATTATGTAGCTTACGCACATGGAGAGTTATTACCTAATTTTCAGTCAGTGACTGTACAATATTTCTTTAGAGTACTGATTATATTGATTTAGTTTAGACATCTAATTCTTCTTTCCCAATTGACTGACAGACACAAAATAGTACAAGTCAATTGAAGGTTACTGATCTGATTTAGTCATTCGGTTCGTTATTAACGAGCGACAAAAAGTGAGTTTATGATTCTCCGTCCGTCCGCCTGTCTCTCCGTCCGTCCGTCTGTCCGGCTGTGGACTCAGTAACAGTTTCAAATTTTCCAATTCTGTTTTTAGCAATAGGTAGACCATGGTCAAGAGACTAATGAATTAATTTTGATCAATATTCGTCAATCAGAAGTGACTTTGTCGCTCGTTGTCTAATTGGTGGAGTTTATTTATCTTGATTTTGGAAACTAACCTATCATGACTGTAGATTTTTGTCTGAATTTTGAATGTGATAATTGCATAGACAGCACCCTAATCAATTCTGTGGCTTCCTGTGAATGATATCTAATTCACATTTATTACACTATTCACTAAAAGGCGTAGATTCATTATGGATAACACTTCACCGTATATTGCACCTTACTATCATCATTTAATTGCACTATAGTCTTTCATTAATCACAGTTTGTGTGTGATGTGTCTACATTTATGAATCATAGTGCACGTTTCTCAACACAGTACCGGAAATTAGTTTCCGGTGAAACTATGCTCTAGAAATACTTTTAGTTTCAAATCTTTTTGTAAGGAATGATTTAATAAAATTTGTATTCTTACTTTTTCCCTAGAAGTTTTTCAACAGGACTGTCAAAAAAACTCTATCAGGTCAGGATTTACCAAGTCGGTTAAATGCAACAGCTTAGAATTATTAACGAGCGACCAGCTCATTCATGATTTTAGGCTTTCTCTCGTCCTACCGTCTGTGTACATGATAACTCGCGAACGGTTTCGAATTTTCCAATTCTGTTTTCAGTAATAAGTAGACGATAACTGATTAAATTTTGGTCATTTAAACTTGTCGCTCGTTGTCTATATTGGTTTGAAATGGGGTAATAGTTATTTCAATATCTATTCGAAATATAAAAAGCTATAGCCCATTATGTACAAGTAATTTTTGATTTCAGTTGGTGTTGGGTGCTCATTAGAATCATAAAACAACGGAAACTGCAACACCAAAAAGGCGTTGAAAGGTGATCACCAACCTTGTCAAAGACTTTTAACTACCCTAAAGAAATAATTTATTAAAAATTCATTTAAGTGCAATAATTGGCATTGGCTTGTTTGTCATTTGAAACGGTACTTTCCAATATGGTCCCAAATTGTTTTGATTTTGTACATATAGCTAGTAAGTGGTGTTGAGTACGATCCTGACCTTTAATTGTGCGTTGGAGGCTCGGTGCGCCTTAAACTCGTGAGATTCCATGATTGTCTGAGTTTACAGGAAAATTCCTTTTTCTCTATGTCTACTTTTAAATGACCTTCTGAAAGGCGCTTAATTTTATGCAACTAACATTCGTGTGTCATACATTGCACTGGAGAAAACGTTGATATTGTCAATTGGTATAGTGCCGGTAACAGTTTAAGAAGCGTAAGAGATTTATTTTCTGTGAATCGAAAGCAACAATATTCAAATTAATATGACAGCCAGATCTTTATTTATTTTAAGGAGGTATGTGAGCTACATAAATGTAGGCGCTCTTCAGAAGAGATTTTGTCATTTAAAAGGAACCATAGGGAAAAATAATACACGTAAATCCCTATGTCTACTTCTAAATAGCACTTTATAAGAATTAATAATAATAATAATAATAATAATAATCACAATCAGGATTCACCTCTGAAGCAAAACCACATTATCACGACCCATTAGTATTCAACCCAAACGCAAAAGCCTAAACAAGCACTTTAGACTCACAACATGACACACAACATACTGTAATATCTCCACCCTTAACTCAACCAACCACACAAACACAACTTCCAGAACAAACAAACGCAAATAAATACAAGTAACGCAACATGCACTACAAAGACGCCCTCACTCAATAAAGTTACACGGCCTAGCACAGTTAAAAAACACAAAACTCCTTTCTTCACAGAAACACACCACGTTATCACAACCCACTCGTATTCAACCCAAACGCAAAGCCAAAGAAACACTTACACAGTAAACTCTATTTAATAAAAGTACAGAAATTATTATAATGATATTTTTGTTTTGTTTTCTTCTTTCCTGATAGCGTTGGCTATTGTGCCCATCAATAGCTATGTTGGTAAGTATGAATTACATACTATCCCTAGATTTCCAATGTGAGTGTGCGAATATTTATTTTATTTTTTATTTTTTATTTTTCTTTAGAACCCTACATAACTTCACTAGACAAGACACAGACACTAATCGTTACTTGATTTTAATCCGTGCGATTAGTTAACCAGGCTAGACCTGAGTTCTCACAAGAAACACCGACAATAATAATAATAATAGGGGTAATAGGCGGTATCCCAAATATCTGTTTTATATTTAAGGGTATTTTGGTATTTGATATTTTAGGGGTACCTACCACGAATTTCTTTAGATTTGAATTTATGATACCAAATCAAGTACGTTAATTTTTTAAGGAACCCCGAAATTATTTCAATAATGTATATGAAAACGTAAAGGATTTTAATTAGAAAGTAAACATTTATTTTTCCTGTTTGTTTAATACTTCTTAACTGGGGGAATGTATTTTTGAACCAGTTTGATAATTTAATTTCCAGAGTTTCCCCATTTAGGTACCTGTGTTGATATTTTAGAAAATAATAGGTAAGGTCATGCGTAAAGTAACTTTTAGACGTGAAAGTGATTACTAACTAGTGGTTCAAAATACTTGGAATTAATATACGAGAATTGTTAAATAGAAACACGTTTGATCTATGCAGCCATGACCTGGTCGTCATGGTAACCGAATTCATTTGTTTAGATTGTTTGCTCAAGTACTAATAAAGCGTCTGTCAAAACTATTTGCAGTTTGCTCTTTTCTAAGCGTTGGGATTACATTTGAAAATGGCATCCATGATAGAAAATCTATCCAAACATAACTTGGGTGCTGTTATTCAGATTTTGGCCGCTGAAGAACGTCAACCAATGGAAATTTATACGAGAATGAAAGCTGTTCTTGGATTTTAAAGAACCTGGTGTCAACATCAATGCTGAGCGATATGCAGACACTCTAAAGTGCTTACGGAACAGCATCAAGAATAAACGTCCGGGGGTAATTCACATATGGTGTCATTCTTCTGCATGATAATGCTCGGCCCCATGTAGCCCAGGCGATTCAAGAACTGCTTAGTCGTATGAAGTGGGAAGTTTTACAACATTCACCTTGCAGTTTCGACCTGCCCCCTTGCGATTATCATGTTTTTGGCCCATTAAAGCACTCACTAAAAGAGGGGCGGTTCAAATCGGACTCTGAGGTAGAGTTTGCGGTTAGGAAATGGTTCCGCAAACAGCCCCAAGAGTTTTACCATCACGGAATTTACAAATTAGTACAACAGTGGGATTCATGCCTTAATGTTAATGGAGACTTCTCTTAAAACCGTTGAATTAAAAATGTTGTACAGCCTCTAAACGTGTTGCTATTGAACAATCCTCGTAGTTCAACCACTTAATTGAATTTTTTTATTGTCAATCGGATTAGAGAGTGGTTGGCTGTGTAAAAAATGGTTAAGTGACCTCCGCCTTTCCGGTAAAACTAATCATAATCTAAACTTTTGTTACTATTTTTGAGTAGTTAACCTTCTAGCCCAAAAAATTCCAACGCCTTCGGACTGTTGTAATTTCTATATCACTTAGTAGAGTCTGGGAATTACATCATACACGAATGAAACACAGGATTTTGTAGAAATTATACATACTATAAAACTATGGATCAGTAGGTATAGGTACTCCACTTTAGTGTTTTACTGGAAATAGAAATATTTGAAATTTTATACTATTATTAGCACAGATATACGTTCTTTACATATATTTATGTATATTAGTTGATTAAATGACGTACAAATGCAAGTAGCACTACAAAAGTGTGAACTTTAAAAGGCTGTGAAACTTGTTTGCTGTGATACTTGTTTTATCTTTCATACCAAATCAATGCGCTTTACTGGATTCACATAAAGGCAATTTCAATTTCTTTAACCTTCCTAATACCAGGTGGGGCGAATTTTCGCCCCAGCATGCCTATTTACGTGGATATTTTTGATTTTAGTCTACTTACGGGGTTGTCCTCATAGCACATTGTTCTTTACAATCTTAGGAAGCAACTAAACCAAACATGTCTAAATTATTTTTAAAAATAATGAGATTATTATATTTAAAAAAAAGCTGAGCGTACTGCATTCGGGGCGAATAATCGCCCCACGTGGTATTTGGTGTCGGTGATTTGTAATTGTAATATAATTATTGCCCACAATTATTTAGAAATTTAACGTTTATTTAATTACTGATTAAAATTACACTTTCGGGTTGTTTATGCAGTTTTGCATTTGGACCTAATTAATTTCTATTCATTCAAGAAATCCTTCTAGTAATACATATAGTTATTACAAAAACGTTTTCAAAATTATTATATCTCACATTATTCCTTCTTTTACATCATTTTAACATTAATTTTGTATTAAATCTGCAAAAACAACACTGGGGCGAAAATTCGCCCCACCTGGTACTAGGTGTTTTAAAATTGACCTGGTATTAGGAAGGTTAAAAAAGTGCACATGTTTGACAAAAGGCTGTTTTACACACACCTACCTCTTACATATATATTTTCTGAATCACACTTTCCACACAAAAACGATACCTACTCAATTATCGAATAAATAGGTAGGTATGGTATTATAATCAAACATACTGCAGTAAAATACTGGTAATTGCTTCAGTTTATTGCCAAGGCTAACTAAAGTGTACGTTACTTATTTTTAATGAATCGTACCACTTATCAAAAAAAAGATCAAGGACCATGCAAAAACTAAATAGAATGTGTAATCACCATTTTCACGTGTGCTTTTTTTTCTCACAAAATTAGCCACACCATAATCTGTTGAACTTTTCGCCCATTGTCTTCTTTGTAGACATAAGCTGAGGTGCTACTATAACGATTACAGCGGTACACATTCAAAATTTAGGCTATATAATGCAAGAATCGAATTCAGCCGACACTTCGACATTCCATTTTACATCGGACCGAAGATCTCGTATTGACGTTTCAGTCGCCTTTTGAGAGTACCTTCTTCAGACACTCGCGTACTGCAGATATTTGCACTGAAAGTAGATGTATTTCGTCCAGATGTTCCACTTGCTTTTTATGAGTATACCCTCTTCCAATACTTCGTTTCGACCTAACTCATAGATATTTCTCGTCCAGACGATTCATTTTGCCTCTGTGAGTATACTCTCCTCCGGCAGACCGTTTTCGAGATATTTGCTTCTAAGTTTTGACATCTCCAATGGATATATTCCAGGCTTCCCAATCGCCCTTCCCTTTCTAGTACTCTCTTCCCACACTCCGCTCTTGAGATATGAGGAATTATCACCGATCACGATAAGGACCCGAGGAGGTGAACCGTAGAAATTAATTCCTTTGGGATATTGTAGTACCAGGGACACGGACTGAAACTGATTTCGGATTGAAACTGAAATAGAAATAGGTATTTTAAGATTAACTGAAACTGGAACTGGAACTGTAACTGATATTTTGTATTTGAGGCGGACTGAACTGAAACGGAAACTGACATTTGTTATGCGGGTGAGACTGGAAGTGAAACTGAAACTGGTAAATTATTTCAGTCCTGAATCCTGAGTCTGTTCCGCCGTCTGCGCCATTCGGTTACTCTTACTACTGTAAAAATTTATATTTATGCGCGCCACCTTTACATTATTTTTATATTCTCTCTTCACAGATCTTTCTCTGCCCTTCCTCGAGGCAAAGGCTGCCTACGGGTACGGCCCTGCTATTTGGATTGTTCAAAATCGCTCCTTTTTCTACTCGTACACCAGCAAACCGAGGCCTTGAAATAAACGTTAGTAGATGCCATTATACCATATGCTTTGCTTGGAAGTTGGAAGTATTACCTGGGGAAAACTAGTACTGGTTTCAACTTGATGGAGCGCCGCCTCATTTCTACCCATGATGCTTCTATGTCTTTGAAGTTTGAACATTTTTGAAGACAATGTTGATTAGGCCTACAGATCCGTATTGGTCTTCTAGGTCTCCAGATATAACGCCATTGGACTTTTATGTGTTGGGTAAAAAAACAAACTTTACTTTACACCAGTTGTTTCTCGTGAAGAACTGGAAGTTAGGGTGAGAAGAGCTTTTGATGAAATGGAGTAGGAATTCGACTACCAACGCTAATTTCTATTATGTATTGAAAAAAAAACGGTAGAGGCGTAGAACAAAACTCAATTGATATTTGTTTTTTATTTTGTGGTTTGTTATCATGACCTGTTTCTGTTTTTGTTTTGATCTTTTTATATTTAACTTTGTATCCATTAAATATAGATTTTTTCATATTTTGGTATATAAACTGCCATTAACAATGAATAACAATTATAACCATAAAAACATTTCAAGGTCTCCTAAGAAAATTATCCATAACGGTCACAATTTTAAAAAATCTAAAATAACACGGAAAGCTTAACAGATGGGTATAGGGAATGTAATAATTGATCGATGTAGAATTTTTTTCGACATTTGAAAATGCAAAAAATAAAGCAGGTTTCATTTAAGTAATTTTTTTATTCAAAAATCTTTATCTTTATAAATATAAAGGCTTCTCCCCAGCCAGGTCTGCATTTGTGTTTGGGTATTATAGGAGAAGTAAAAAATCTTGTGAATAACTTGAAAGTAAAATCCTATCAATCATAGGAAAATGATATCCAACGACGTAGATTTTCATGTAAATTCCGTAAATACAAAAAATATAGGGTGTTCTACTTAAAATAAGACGTCAGTTGCTATCCACATGTTGGTATGCAAATTTTCAGATTTCAATTAAGTATTAATGGGAGTCTGGATTCTTTTAGGTAACGCGTTTTGCGTGAAACAGCCTGTATAAGTAACTACCTACTTTAGGTATATTTGGCAGTTATTTTGAAGAGGAGCTCAGATCATTTTCAAGCTACCTCTTGAAATTTTTCACTTTCTTTTATGCTTTTACCATTACTTAATACCCTGCAGTAAAGATCATAGTGAAGTATGATCCTCGATTCCCTGTTAACATTGAAGGTACTTTAGAGAAATACTTATTGTGCACTTGAGATCAAGACTACTGGGCGTAATAATTGAATTACAAAAACTTAAAATGTATAATCTACTTACATAGAATTTACATTAGATTATCAATAATCAAATCCCACACATAATAGGAATTTAACATTTTATGCTTTTAAAAATATATAAATAATACTATTAATTGCTTTTCAAATTGTGAGATGCCTAGGTACATAAAATTATACGAAAATGGACTACTTGTTTAGTTTATAATACCAATACAATAGGTAAATGGTAAAGTAAGTGTAATTTATCTATAATGCTTCGTTGTCCTTAATGAAACTGAATAATTATCACTTTTATTAATATCACAAAAGGCATGTCCTTATCTTCAAAAACTGTATTGTAAATTAGAAAAGAAACATTTCAGTAACAAGTCTTCATGATGAACTTCTGCAAATAGGACAAGAATCTCTCACGTTTAACCACATATTAATGCAATCGGCATGAAACTTATGACCACAAGTTAACTGTTTAATAGAACTTGCTTTCAATACATCAAAGCATATCACACAATCTTTCTCGGAGTCATTAGAATTCCTACGCCTTCGATGCCTGAAACACAAAATGAATACATTACTCAAAATGCAATTCAACAGGTTACCGCGGAGATTGGTTGACGGAGCGAGGCGGTGGTGCTAGGTTAAATGGGGACGCAGTCTCGTAATTTAGTCTGGGATTTTCGTTTCTGAAGTAGTAATACATTGCTGTACCGATGGCTACAGCCAGCATTATACCGAATGTCCAACCAGGATGTGCCATTATTGGTAAATTCGCTGATCACTAAACATAAGATTTATTATTTGAAGCTCTATCCATAGATAGTAATAACAAGGCAGCAAACCAAGCATTTGATGTACTCCACAAATAGATACGGGTACGTTGTTGACAGAAAACAAATCATAATAACTTCCTCTGTCAAAAATCAAAAGCTGATGTCCATGCCATAGATTACAAACAAATGTGTACATGTACACAGGGCATTCATTTCAAAACGCCTATTGTAATTTTGTATTAAAAAATAAAAAATTGTAAAAAGAAGTATATTTTAGATTAAGGGGAGGTTTAATGGAAGATCTACTTTCATTTTAACGTCTACCCTCGACTCCCAACTACCCTCACCTTAAAATTATAATATGCACCCCCCAAACTTTGCCACGATAACGACGCCCTTTAGACCATGATTTGTTTTTCTTATTTTGAGGAGTACTATCATCCCCTGTAATATCTGCATGACTTTAATTAACACCGTGTACATGATCTAAGTGTACACCACCTGTAACAATTAGCCTACTCAAAATCAAATCCAATGACCTTGTAGAGTCACCCCAAGGTGCCCTGGCTATCTCCTGCATACTTAGTTTTAGCAGAGTCCCCTTGCCTAAGCCCTTTCTAAAGTACTTATAGAAGTTAAATTAATAATTCCAAGAAGGTGGTAAAAAACTAAAAAGTTTATTGGCCATGATTTACCTACCGCATTTGATACCTCATTTTTTTAATATTTAACTGTCATCTTTAATAAACACGTCAACATAAATAATAATTACACTACAGAAGTAAAGGTCTTTTTTGTAAAATCGTTTTATGCTGGGAATAGTACACGACGAAGTTCGTGATTTATTTTTAGTTAAGTTTGATGACAGGTCAATCTTATATGGTGTAATTATTTCACCCTTTCGTACATGAAGTGAGATAGTAGTCAAAGGAACGATTTTTTGCAGTAGGTAGCTAGCAAGTGCGACACGTCACTCCATGGCCAACCAGTTTTTACCAATTTTTAGGATTTTTAATTTAATTTTTAAGCTTGCATGAGAATAGTTGAGTATTTTTATGTCATCCGATGAATATTTTAATTATCTATCCGATGATGTTTTTATTTTTCATGTAGGATGAAGAGGGGAGGAGATATTGCCGAAAAATTCCCATGTTATTTCCCTATGGCCCTCTGTAAACTTGCCACGCTGTATACGATAAACAATGTAGGAGAAAAAAATAGAATGTATGATAATTGATTGTTTGCTGACGTCAGAGGCTCTGTATAAATTTTGCACAACAGAATAATGGCTGAATGTTTTGTTTTGTGAATTATCTCAAACTATAAACATCAGTGAATTTTTTGAATCCCCAAGTGATCACTTTATTGCACCTGCTTCGACCTTGATTTCAGTGTACCCATCATCTCACACTCGAAACAAGCAACAATGAGAGACCGAGCAAAACGTTCGACTGCGGGTAATCGCATGGCTAAGTTGTTAAACGAGGAAGAGGAGTGCCAGGATGAATTTTACAAAGTCAATTATGGGGGTTTTCAAGAGACGGCAACTGATAATGAATACGAGTAAGTTCTCATTATCGCCATTTATAGATTGTCGACAAATTGAAGTTTCACTTTAGAGCCGAAGAGGAAGGAGAGGATCAGGTGGATTCCGATTTTAGTATTGACGAAAATGACGAACCTGTTTCTGAGAATGAGGAAGAGAGTCAACGGAAAAAGAGGAGATTGGTTACAAAAGCCTATAAGGTAACTTCATAACAATTGTAGGGGATGGTTAAGTCTAAAAGATGTGTACATGCATTTAAAATCACAATTAATTTTAAGTAATTTTAATATGACTTCAGAACTATTCAGTATGTTAAACATGGGAAACTGTTTAAAGGTTTTAATGGTATTCAGATAGCGGCAATATATCACACAATCTGAGACTAAGCCATCAAGTATTATTTCGAAATTACTTGAAGACCAAAATCTTGTCTCATTTGTGTAAGGGGTTTGTTCTTATCCGGCTAAGATCTTCTGATCGCGATAAAATCCTTCTGTATTGCCCGAGATGCACAGTAAGCAATGATATTTTTTTATTTTCTCACTTCTACTTCTATCAGACATTTATGTCAAAGTTAGGACTGATGTAGGCCTTCTGCAGTTTTCATGCCGAGCTTTCTGGACAGAGGTCGATTTTCCTGGATATAGGAACCCTCATCAATGCATTATATAAGTAGGAGTTGGGGATGTTAAATTCTTTAGCCTCCTCGAATTATTGACTGCACTTCTAATGAAAAAATGTTATTAGGAACCAGTACCAAACCAAAACAAGCAAAAGTCTACTCCGAAACCGAAACCATCAGCTTCCAAAGAGAATAATGACACTCAACAAACGTCTGATCAAGGAGGTGTGTAAATATGCAATTTACTTTTGTATTGTTTTAAAATCACCCGTTTGGCGAAAGATTATTTTTGTTGATTGTAATTAATAATGAGCATAAGTTTAGTTTGTACTTTTCCTAATATAAGAAATATAAGTTCATTTCTATGGATTTGTTTTAATGCGACTGTCCTTTTAACAAATCATTGTACTTTTTAAAGCTGCTTTTGCAATGATGTTCAGTAAGTAATGCACTACTATTTGTAACGCCTGACTGATGTGTGGTACCCACAGAACGAAAATCCATAAGAAAATCAACTGCAGCCAAATCGGCAGCCACAGCTCAACGTGTTAAAATTCGAACGTTGGAGCAGAAGAAAAAAGCAAAAAAGCCGAAAGAAGAGGAATGGATACCAACCCAAGAGGAACTTTTAGAGGAAGCTAAAGTTACCGAATTGGAAAATTTACAAGCTTTAGGTGAGTGTAATTATCAGTATGGTTACTGCAGTGTTGCAATTTAGAAAGATACCAGAAAATGGAAAGTGAAAAGAAATCGAGGCGCCCTTTCAAGAGAACACGATTTGGTCCTATTATTCGGTACCATTCTATGCGAATGCCTCTAATCGAAGAAGTTAATCCAGAGTACGTATGCTGTGTTATGATTTTTAAATCTAAATGTCTAATTTACAGAGAAAAGGTTAAAAATGAAAATAAAGCAGATCCTGCTCAGAAATACTATGAGAGAACTTTTATAACATTTTTGGATGATCCCAACGATGTAGTATACAAAAATGTAATGAAGATTAGGCCCCCGCCAAAAGTTCCAAATAAGTTACGATGCACAATCACAAAGTAAGTATCAATGCTCTTGTTGGAACTGTGTGTGCTGAGCAAATTTGTCTATTAGACTGATTTGTGCGAGGGGAACACATTGACAATAAAGTACAGTTGTGTCTTATTTTTATTCATTATAGGGAATATTTTGTATCCATACAAACTTAAAAGTGTCCAGTACTTGGGTCATCGGAAGCAGTTAGGTCTGCTGAATTAGAACTGTCGTTATTAGCTGTTGTGATGTCTGTTTTGGTATGTCACTAAAATCTCCATAGACTGGCCTGGGTATTTTCTCTATTACTGTTGAATATGACCAACCTTCAGTCAGTGAGTTTACTTCAGTCTTTGAAATTGATCTTCCCTTTATACTTCGATACCTTCTCCCAAAGATCTGTTAGTTGCAGTGTAGCTTAGCAATTGTTAACAATTTACTTTTCTTGCTGGCACATACAAATAACAAGCTAAGCTATGTACATACTGTACACAGAAATAAAAGGCCAATTCCTATAGAACACTACATAGAAGGACAAGCAAACCTTTTGTTAAGGGTGAAAGGTGTACCTTCCATAATAGTAGGAGGCTGCTAACTATCTTTTATTCATTACAGACTGCTTGTCCATATCTAAGATCCTCAAGGTCTCTCCTGAACAACCTCCAGCCTCTGAAAACTGACACAGGGTACCAAAACAAAAATCTTTTCCGAACAAACCCAATGACTCAAAATATTTCGTTTTGAAATTAAACTTCAAAAAGTCTAACTTCCCTTTTTTTTAGCATCATGAGACATATTTTTGTATACATATTATAATTTAGAGATTTATTTATATGAAAACCGCCAAAAAGTTCAAATATTTTAACAACAAAAAGAGCTATCGAAAAAAAGTTTCAAATAAAAGTTGCAAGAATCAATGGGATAAATTCAATTAACAATTAAAAATTTTTAAAATGGCGGTTTCCGAGATTGACATCAACTTCCTTATTTTAAATGGACGCCATATTTGAGATTTTTACGTCAGTCGATAGCCTTTGTTAGGTGGTTTTGCAAGTAATTCGCTTACTTAGTTGGATTGTTGATTTTAATATTGAGTAGCCTTTTATCAATAATTTTAGATGGATTTGTGGGATTGGCCACTGTCGTTTATGATTGTATGTCTCCCGTTTGGGTAACTCCTTGCTTTATATCAAAGGTAGTAATACGACTCGCTCCTATCTAAGAAAGATTTATATGCACTAACAGTACTAACAACAATTGCAACCATAGCAAAAGTTGTTTATTCCAGATCCAAAATTCTTATCTGTTGCAGAGGTAAAAGTGATGATGATATTACTGTATATAAGTTATCAAACTTTCATTGTTGACTTGTTTTAATTTTAGAAAACCAGCAAAGTATGTGGATCCATTAACTTGCTTACCGTATCACGACATACAAAGCTTTAACTTAATTCGAGAAGCATATTACCAACAGCTAGAGGCACATGGAGATAAAAACGACCCCGTAATGGGCAAATGGTTGGAGTGGTACGCAAAAAATAAGGACAAAAGCAGAAAACTTCGATTTCATAGATCAGTTCCTAAAACAAATTAATATGGCAGTTTCTGTAATTTGTATAAATAAAAACTGAAAAGTCATGTAAATAATTTCATTTGATCTATACAAGGTGCATGTAACTCTTAGGGAGAAGATCGTCTGCACACATGCACGGATCTAGGCACATAAAATCATCAGTGTCCAGTTTGCATGGATTTCTTGGAGGACAGGCGGGTGCGGCTCGCACTATGATGGCACAAATGCTTTCATAGACCCAACGCTGCGGTTGATTACCATTGATTACTGTAGCAGTTTGTCCACAATATTTTTTCAGGCTTCCATAGTGTTCGCAGTAGTACTTTAACTGAAATATTATTTTGTATTCACTGTGCTAGTATACTGTAGTTTTGTATGACGCTATTAATTTATTGTTGTGCGTCATTAATTTTAGGTGATGCACACGACACGCTTTGCAATGTTACCTCTGCCTCTAATGCATCTATGTTGTCTTTTGGATGAGTTGCCAAAAGCTTTTGTATTACCAAATCGCGGTTGTCCATCAAATTTGTTACACTTCCTGTGTGAACGTTAATTTTTCTGTTTAAGATCCGTTCTCTGCATACCCGTAAATCGCAGTCGATGAAAATTACTCTAAAAGACTTGCGCCATTTCGTTATGCAATAATTGTGAGCTTACCTATTAGGCGGTGTATCTAAACAGTCCAAATATCGAAAATCGTTCACTGTAAAGGGAAACCCTGTCAAAACCCAACCTTGATCCAAGCAGTCCTTTTTTAAAATTCTTTGGTCTAAGACTTTCATTAATAAATTTGTTTGGAAACAGACATCGTCTTGACATTCTCGAAGTTTTTTGCCCAGCTCCGTTTTGGATATCCATGCTTGGCAAAGGAGATATTCAAAATCAACTGAAAATAAACCATCAACTTCATTTGAACAAGTATTTAGATGCTCTTGCATATGATCAGGAGCACTTAAGCATGAATGTTTTGTGGGAGGGGTTAGTAGCATTTGACCATAGACGTATGAGACCGAAACAACGTTCCCTTAAAAAAGCAAAATAAACTTGCACTCGCATTAGAAACCCCTCCATCAAAACATGCAGATGAAAACCAACAATTATTATAAGTGTAGGTAAATAATTGTTTGATATTCCCGCTAGTTTCCGCAATAATCGACCGTGTCAAGATAAATAGGACACCCTGTATATAAATTAATTAAGGGAATTGCAAATACCGCAACTCGCAGAATAAATGACCGCTACACCGCAATTCGTCTCGCTTATGCAGGTGCAGTTATACCCCAATACATCATCGCCTGAAACTGATATATTTTCTAAGCAAAAATGCCCACTTTAAAATTATCCTATATTCCATGTCTTTGATAAAAACGAAATTCACCGTTTATTAAATTAATAATTCAAATTAATTCGCGATAATCGCTAATTTTTTATGATACGTTCTCTCGTAAATACCTCAGGTCGAGCCCCACGTTGTTGCGTCTTCGCTCGCTTTTTTTACTTTTGTTTGTGTTTATTATAATAATTCATTTATTGTCTACATTTACAGTGAATACTTTTTATTTGAATGCGTAACCACTTGAAAACTTCGCTCGTTAATTAAAAAAATGTGGGATACTATTTGAACAAACAGTTGTACAATGGAGAAATTATTTTTTAAATAATTGTTAAACTTTTTTCGTTAAAAATTTACTATGATTTTTGAGGCACTTTATAAGTTCACCTTTTTGTGCTTTACAGGTGATTTTTTTCAGTTCTAAGTTAGACTGAAGGTACTTTTTGTTGAATATTGTTTTCAGGATTGTTATCATTAGCGATTTATTTTAATACAGAAGTTAACCGCACAAAATTGCTTATTTGCCAATTTATTTAAAATTTTGCGGGATCCCGCGGGATTAACATCTAATGATTCCGCAAATGCCGGGATTGAGATTTTGCTGCGGGATTGCATTCCCTAGCTGTAACTTTTGAACTAGTAGCCCAATCTTGGAACTGTTTGAAATTATGGATTCTACAGGCCACATTCTAGATGAAAATTTTTTCCGGGTCGATCTGAGACAATTTTCTTTTCGGGCCTCAAAAAAAGGCAGTATATAACCTTTTTTTTACCAAAAATCGACTACACCAAAATTTCTCGGTAAAACACTTTTTCTTATTAATTTTGGTGCGTAGAATCCAAAACAATTCGTACTTTTTCGATCAGATTTCTCAATCAAAAGTTATAGACTAGAAACCAATTTCGAAAGAAAATTCAAAGGGCTGTAACTAGGGAATGCAATACCGGGATCGCGGGATCCCGAAATACCGGGATCCCGCAGCATTTTTGCGGGATTAATCCCGCACATAAATGGAGCGGGATCCCGCGGGATTTGCGGGACTGAGGAATTTGTCGACCAAGGGGACGACTCTGTTTGCTTTGTTAATGAAACGCATAACGGAGAAATTATTTTTAAAATAATTGTTAAACTTTTTTCGTTAAAAATGTACTATGATTTTTGAGGCACTTTATAAGTTCACCTTTTTGTGCTTTACAGGTGATTTTTTTGAGTTCTAAGTTAGACTGAAGGTACTTTTTGTTGAATATTGTTATCAGGATTGTTATCATTAGCGATTTATTTTAATAGAGAAGTTAACCGCACAAAATTGCTTATTTGCCAAATTATTTAAGATTTTGCGGGATCCCGCGGGATTAACATCTAATGATCCCGCAAATGCCGGGATTGAGATTTTGCTTTGGGATTGCATTCCCTAGTTGTGTAAATAGTGAAACTTTCTCGTAAATCTCTACTAAATTATGGGTCCATTTTAAAATGTGTGGGGGTTTCAACCCCTAGCATACTTTTTCGTAAGTATAAAATCCTTTACTTAATGGCAATAGTTAAGAATTACCTTACCATGTATAACATTCAGATTTTCTTCTAATAAGCGGGCTTGTGTTTTCCTCCCACAGCCACGCGGTCCTAGTATAACAATTCGTGGTTGTTTCGGCCCGCCAAATCCTTTCTGTATTTTAATGTGTTCATAGCATTCTTCAACAACCTCTTCTATACTTTTTTCCCCCAAGTGCACCTCCTATAAGAACAAGTGGATGTAATCCAAACTAAGTATGGTTATGGAAACAATTCCAAATTAGGTACTTAAATTTAAGAAAAATGTGGTAGTTTTTCTTACTATTAAACAGTGTTTAAACACATCCCGTACGCTCATTATCGAACGACGATACTCTGGCCATCCCTCTTGAACGCTCGAGTATATTGCATTGTTTAGTGGTGGCTCAAATGGCGGTATGAGATGAATGACGTGCGTTGGAAGAATGCCATGTTGTAACATGGCCTTTGCTTCGCATGCATTTTTTATGCAATCTACACACCAATTTGTGCAAGTTGCGCAAGGTAGGAACACTCACCTATTAATATCCATCCTTTGACTTGCCTCCTTCTTACTATTTTGTCTAGACATTTGGCCAATTCTTGAGGTGTCAGTTGAGATCTTTCTTTCTAATTGACAGTACGCAAACAATTTTTGATACTATTTTTACTTACCTACCTCTCGGTTTAGTTCCTCTACGATAGTATTCTCATTTACAATTGTTTGTTGCGTGTAATATGAAATTTCCAATGCTACTTCGTATAGATTGATTTTCGGTGACGATAGCAATACGACCCTTGCTACGTTAATATTTTTAGCAGCATGTTCCAGAACTTGTTTCATAAATAATACGTGATCGACAGGCTGTTGAATAACCAATTCACGGGCAAGCTCCTAGACAAACATTGCACGCAACATAAAAAGGACGTGGACACTCACATGAAATAGATCGTAAATCCGATGCTTCTCCAAGTATGGGATATGCCATGGTGGCATCGTTAACTTCCTTCTTAAACCATCACTCATTTTAGCCTTTTTTAAAAAGCTGTCAAATCTACTTCCATGGAGATAGGTACCGATTTAAGCATTCAGCGGTTGCTTAGATGAATTTTCGATTTCCTCTGCAAGCTAAATAAACGTGGAGAATGTTAATTTTAGAACAGACCTCCCTTCCTGCTGGCGAACATCTTTAAATCTGTTAATGCCCCTTCGCATGCGACTAGGCAATGCCCACTAAACATTGAAAATAACGCAAAGTTGAAAAAACACATAATAGCTATTTATTTACTAAGTGCGTCATAAGGTTCTTTATCTACGCGAGAAAAGTTTAATTTCCGACGTGCAATAGATTTTTCAATTTCGAAAACCAAATTTTGAATTTCTATACGTGAACTTGCAAAAAATTATCGGTTGACCTACGTCTAGCTCTATATGAAATTTTTCTATGATTGATTGATTTACTGAAGATTTTTTCTCTTTCCATTTTCCTGAAATTTGCCTTCAATATGTATCTGTAATTTACATTACCCTTTACAGGTTTTGTTATTTCAGATTATCCCTATAAATTTAAACCTACAAAATCAATGCTGTGGCCAAAAAATGCATGCAAGACAAAACTGCTTTAACTGCATAGGTATAGCTTTAGCTCTTTAAGAATTATTAAATGATTTCTTTTTAAAGATTTACATAAATGGTTTACACTTGAACACGCTGTGATGATGACTTGTATTAATACGTTTTTAAACGTTTTAATTAAATTTATTTATTTATTTTAAGGTACTCCATTTAACACATTTTGTAAATATGATCTTCAATCTCGACACCGGTTTTTAGGTATTTTTCTAAACCTGACGCTCGACCTGATGATGACTGTTAAAACGACGAAATCGATAGCCTAGACAAACAAAATACACAATCTTTTGAGTTTCGATTCTTCTTCTTTTTTATGATACAACGTATCCCACGTATTTTTTAAATATGCCAAATTTGCGGTTTCCATGTAGAATTCGCAGTTGCAACCAAATATCCCCAACAAATATAATTGAATACGATCGTCATTCTGGATATCTCGTCGCCTAGGTTTCCGAAAGTAATTAAATCCATTCAATTAAAAATACTCAGAAATGGTACGAACTTCAAGGCCAGTACAAAACACTCACGGACTTTTTCAATTCTACCAAATATGTATAAATTATTGGAAAATTCGCTAATTTTTTACACTTTGCATATTTCACATGATATGGAGTGATTAAACTGATTAATCCCTTAAAATCTCAAAAATTTCGACTTTACCTATTTCAATAACATTCGAAAAATTAAGACATATGATACTGTTACACCTTTGGCCGAGGAAATTCAGTTCTGAAACCGCGGATACAGATCCTGCAAAGGTACACAAGATTCTATCCAAAAAGTTATTAGTATTTATTAAAAGCTGATATGTTTCACGTAGTGGGTTGTGACTGTTAGCTTGTTAATGTGATATTTATACAAATGAATTACGTACATGAAACAAACCTTTAACTTCTTATTATAATCTAAGAAGGTATATTTGTGATTAAAATCTAATTAAAAACATGTCTGTATAGGTACCTATGAATAATACGAAACAAGGCCCCTGGCGCAGTCAATTAATTAATTAGATACTGCTAAGTGAACTGACAAAAGACCATTATTGCATTAAACTTTAACAACTGCAAGGCCCTTCATTCTGATTATTTATGCATTTCATTAACGTAAGTGCACTCTCGCAGCGTTGCAGATATACAAAAAATTGCCTCCGACCATAATTTATGTTAGTTAGTTACTGGGTACATAGTAATGGCAATAAAGCGCAAAAATATCCATTATACTTTGGCGCCTCTTTATGTAGTTTTACAAATAACCACATTTTTTCAGTTATATCAAGGAAAACACATCAAACTTTTGTTTTTAGTCAGTTTCATTTTTAAATCAATACTTATTACTGCACTGGTCACACACTATTGTCTTTGTCAGCACGATCTTAAAAACCTGGACGATATTTTACTGGCAATATTTACTGTTTACAACTATTTGTCAATAATCCAGTTTTTATTCATGTCTCGTTTTTATACGAAACGGATATCCAATATTTTGAAGAATGTGGGAAAACTCGATAAGAGTTTTAAAGAAATCACACAAATACAGATAGATTACTCTGCGGGCCGTAGAAGATTGGTGACACAAATGACAGTTCGGTATTTGCTTGTGGGACCATGTCTTGTAATTGCCGGTTTGATAGCTGTGATGGGAAATTTAGAATATCGAGCAGATTTTCAATGCACTCAAATCAATAACGCAACCACAGTACTGAACACCAACGTGAGCAGCTTATTGATATTCCTTCTATCCGAGTTGAATCAACGTTTTATTGAAGTCCATAAGTATGGATTTAAAGACTCATTAGTAATGCATTCAGATGCAGCGAGAAAAATCAGAGAATTGCACTCGCTTTGTAATACACTATGCCAATTAGGTAAGGAGGTTAAATCTGTGTTTGAGACTCTCTTAATGGTCAAGATAATTTCTTGTGGATATTTCATTCTAAGTGGAATGTTTTGGGGTAGCTCGGGTACATTTGGACAGTCAGCTCCATTTTATTTGATTTTTGGAACAGGATATTGGATATCGCTGAACATATTGGAGATTCTATTGCTTTTATACATATATATATATATGCTTTTATACCACTTCGCGACATATGCTGATAAAGTTAAGTGACAATAATATCGCAGAATCTGTTTAAAAATATTTTTGCAGAACAAAAAATCAATTCGACTTATTGAAAAATTTGGCTCTTCAGATTTTTCAAGCTTAAAATACATGCAGGTTAATTCCAAATGTTTTTTAATGATAAATTTACAATTGATGTTTTAGGCAGAGCTTTACCTTCTTCATGCTTACATAGAAGACGTGAAGTTCAGTGTTTTTGGCTGTTTTAAATTGGACTGGTCGCTAGTGCAATCTGTAATGTGATCTAATGAAAGTACGAGTATAAGGATTCATATTATGGTGATGTTTTTAGATGGCGGCCGCTATTACAAGTTACTTGGTAATTTTCTACCAGTTTAGCAACTTGGAGAAGAAGAAAATCCAGTAAAGGAATCTAGCAGCAGAATTTAACATATTTTATTTTTTTTCTAAATACATTCTCTCATGAGCAGTTTGTGTTTTGCACGGCCATAACCGCAAAATGTAAAATTTATTTGTGATACCACATTTTCTATTTTAATCTATCGGTGCATGTCTTTTATTGCTACGATACTTTTCTGTGATATATATCTATTTTCGCTTCTAATTTATAACTAATATATTACTGATTCACCCCCCTCTTGTTCACTCGAAGGAACAATTTGATCAAAGTTTTTTTTAATTACAAGTATAAGGTTTTCTGTGTGAAAACCTGATTGGGATTCTAAATTTTCATGTTGGTAAGGATCTTCAAATGCAATAAATTTCTTCTAAATTTTCCTATTTGAGTTTCAACAATGCATGATTTTACCATACCTCCTGAAGGCAATTGCCAACACTGGATTGCCAATTTTTAAATCTGACAATGCCTTGGACGGTTCTTGCCATTATTAAGGATCCTCCAAGCCCTTTGGTGTTTTGTATGGTTTATAACTGAGATAATACCTACTCTATATCTACTATATACGCAACTTCTTGCTCTTTCTCTACATTTCGTTATTTCCGAATGACTTTTGTATAAATATACGTAGGTGTACATTGTACACTGTAGTTGCAAACTTTTTAGGATTACAATTTATGACTTGTATAAATAAAGGTTTCTCCAATTTCGATTTTTCAGGCCAACTACTTATGCAAAATTCTGTTATCTTTATCTCAACTTTATGCGTCGATTATTAACGAGCTCTTAGCGGGTTCATAATTTTGCGATGTCTGTCAGTCTGTTCGTATGTCCGTCTGTCCCGTTAGCAGGATATCTCGAAAACGAATGGTCCGATTACGATGAAATTTTGCAAGTGGATTCTTTATCCATATTGTAGATCGCAGTTCGTAATTGTCAATGGAGGTCAAAAAATAAGGAAAGCCCTTTTGACATCTCCGTTAGTTATGAACCTTTTTCAATTTATTGCTGATACCTTTGCAAAGGAGAAAATTGCTTGTCAATGGGAGAATATTTCAGCTCATCGACAAATGTAAATTAATTGAATTTTTTACATTGTATCCAAACAGGAGCCGATCGTTTTTGGGGATTTGTAAATCCCTGCAAATATAACTACGCCACACATACGGTGTAACGAGAGCATTTAGCTTTGAATTTAAATTTTTGAATTTTCCCGCAGCAAGAATTTTTAAGTAATATCAAGGTTCTGCACTTCTGCAGTGCCTTCCTGAACAAATCTTAGAGCGGAAAAAGAGCTTGCGAGCGAAAAAAAGATCTTGCGAGCGGGGAAAAAACGCTCATGAGCGGAAAAACCGCCCACGGGCAAAAAAAAAGTGCTCGAGTACTTTAAGTAAGAACACCAAGCGGCCGCTCTGAAAAGTGCTCGCGAGCCGCATCGGTCGCAGGGCCGCCGTTAGCCTCGACGGGCCCCGGGAATATTTTTGACCGGGCCCCTATAATTGAAATTTTTGTTGTCCATCACCCTTATCATTGAATATCAGATTTATTATTCAATGCCCTTATCTTAAACTAGACATTTTCAATCTTGACTACTTAGATGTGAAAGGAGAACATTTGAATAATTTTCATACAGACACAGTAATTTTCATAATTTATTATGAATTGTTAGAATTCAAATAAACAAATTACAATTTAACTCTGCGGATTTTCTTATTAGCAAAAGTTAATATCACTGGCTCAAAATTAATTTCTTTAGCAAGTTGAGCTTCAAGAGCTAATGCACCGAGATTGGTGTAATCTTGACGCATAGTCGATCTCAAACGGTTTTTTACCTAGCGAGCCTTCTGCCACTGTGCCGTAATTAGGAAATTTTGCTCAATGGTATGGTTTTTTAAATCTTCTGCTGTGCATTTTTTTATATTCTACTCTCTCATATTCAGATTTCTGTTAAAAAGTACAATTAAAAAT